TTTCAGAGTATGCTTGGAATTATTCACAAAGCACAAAAACAGTAAAACACAAAATAAGCAAGGGATAGTGCTACCATGTTATTCTTTACTACAATACTTGGTTTACTGCTGGGTTGCAGAGAGTTCTTTCTCTTAGTATAATTCTGTTATTTCATGCTCTCCAAGATTGCTTTTGTAGTGTTTAAGTACTTGCTGTTAACTTATTTTTAAATTTTTAAAGCATTTTTAAAATTTTTTACTTGCCTTTTTGGATATGATCTCGATATGATCTTATCTTTTTTATATTAACTGCAGAACATTCTTCTCTCCTGCTTAATACTACTTTTATACTACTATTAAATACTACTTAATACTCAATGTTTTGTTACACATGCCCATCTTCCAGAGAAGGGGAGATCCTCCAGTCCAGTGTTTTGAAGTCTCTTTAGTAACAATATCCTGGAACATGCATGGCTTGAATTTACATATCAAAATAGATGACTAAGAATAACCTGATCAAAATAACCTGACTATGGTATCTACCCTGTGGAGTATTCTCAGCAGAATATTTCGGATGAAACTCTCCGCTTGTGCTACAGTTCTCCACATGTTTTGCCTTACACTAAAGATAAATGCACAGATATCATGATCCTGGAGTAGGCATTTCTACCCTATGCACTGAGCTGATTCCACTGGAAGTTCCATCCTCCCATTACCTTAATCACTGTTGCTCATGAAACATCATCAAATTGTCCTGTAATGGGCACTGAAGCTTCTGCTAAATGCACCCCAACAATCACCCCTCTTTCTAAGTCACTGGGGTCTTCTCTTGCAGCCATGCTAGCCATGGTTACAGGCATCTAGACCAATCCAACATTTCAATACACGCTGTGTGCTGCGATGTTACTTCTTCAATCAACACATGGGCCACACGTGTGGAAGTCCTTGCTTTTACTTTACTCTGTTACCAAGGTGTTTCCATTTTTTGTCCACTATATGCATTCCCTGTTTTACATTCCCTACACTAGATTTCAGTTTATTTCAGAACTTCAAAACACTGTGTCTCATCTTCAAGGTCTTGCATTATTAATTCCCTGTTACATCAGTGGAGTGTTAATATGAAATTGTGTTTTTTTTAAACAATGATTTTAGAAATTCCTGATCTGATTGATTGATTTTCCCAGCCACCTTGTTTTAATGTGTTTTCTCAAAACACTGTAACAGACTGGGTTTCCCTGTTTATGTTACTATAGTGTACTTCCATCTGCAGCAAAGCATTTCTTTACCCTGAACATCTGCCTTTGGTATTACCCTTGCCAACTAAGAAGATGAATTAGTTCATCTCAGTGTCACCTCAGCTCAGGTTTCACCTTTCCTTATTGTCCAGCACATTCAGTATCAGTTTAACAAAAAAAAAGGTTTAGTTATTTCCATCTGCTGTTCTTCATACTATTCAAAACACTTGATTGAAATTGCATCAATGTGTCGGGTCACAGTACAATGGAATATCAGTATATTGATCTTCCCTGATCAAAAGGTAAAATAAAACATCTTATTAGTGTTTGCATTTATATGAATATAAAAAAAATGGCAAAAGAAAAAAATCTTTTAAATGATACTGTATAAATAAAGTCTTCACTTGATTCTAGAGGCTCAGCAAGCTAGGGCACACCCCAGCTTACACAGCATTAAGTGTACAAGGCTCCATTCCAGAATGGATGCATAGTTACACATTTATGCATCTCAGTGACCTGAAGCAACCAGTGAAACTACCTTGTTCAAGGGTACAATGGTAATGTCTGCAGTAGGAACTATAACCCATAATCCTTTGGTAATAAATCAATAAGACATTAAACACTATTCTGCACGTTCCCCAAACACATGGTCTTAGAGCACATTAGCTAGTATTAAATCGTAAATACCAGTAGCATGCATTTATTGTTTGAACACTTAAAATACCAAAACAAGAAGAAACAAATCATTCAGAATTAAAAACAAAGAATTTACATATACAAGAACATGATTCATGTTTTAATTGTACGAAGTTACTTTAATTGTCCATTACATGTTTTTTCAGGTATTGTATAAATTAGATAAGCAAAACCACAAGATATAATTTGTATCTTTCTTATCTGATCTGAATGTTCACTGCTTATATTAATTAGACATTTGTTATGCATACCAAAACACATTTCACATTAATTTAAATGGAAAACTACTAAATCACAGCTGTTTTTAATGACGAATGACATTCTAAGTGATTTTGAAAGTGTGCATTGCAATACTATGTGTTTATAAAATCTGTCTTGCAGTTTATGTTACTTGTGTGTATAGGTACAGCAAAAGATGTAACAGGAACAACAGATGTATAATATAGTATGTACTCTATATCACATATGCAGTGCCCTCCATATTTATTCATATCCCAGATAAAAAAAATAACAAAAATAGCCTATAAGAGAAGTTATAGATTGGATTGTGGGTTTTTAATAACAAATAATCACAAAATATATTTTGAATATTACTGTAAATGTGATTTTGTTGGATTGTTTTAAAAGGAATCCTTCCAAGTGGGGATAACTGTGATGTTTGTGTTTTCTAGAAATGAATTATTGATGAGAAATCAGATTTTTTGTGTGCAATACTAATATAACAGTACAACATTTTTAATATTGTATTATACAACCCATAATTGATTCTATGATGTTTTTGTTAATAAAAAGGACTGTTTCAGAGTTATCCATTAGCCTTTTCTTGCCTTTTCTTGAAAAACATAATCCTTAACAACTGAGAACTGCTGATTCTGTGGTAATATTAAAGACCTAGATGGATGACTGTCTCATACCTCTGTGTCTTCTGGTTCATTGGGAACGCTGCAATAATGGAGAAAATCTCTCAGTTCCTCTTTGCTGTATTCATTCACTTGATCTGGTTTGAAAGTACCTTCATGAATTAATCTCACCAAGGCTGCAATGTTACCTAAAAAGCAAAAAAGAATGTCATATACGTCTTCTTTACTCACTTCCATGCAACACAATAAATATACATGCAGTCAGACAGACATGATTTCTTTTGAAAAGTCAAATTTAAGCTTACATGAAATGCAAAAATAAAATGATTTTATAAGTTGTTGCCTATGGTGACGTGTAGACATCACAAAATAAACAAATAACACTTTCTTCCCCAAACACAAGTTTTCTGTAGCTCTGTATCCGCTGTTCCTCCTGAATTTCTATTCATACCTACAGCTGCTTGATCAGAAGAATTTTTGTCCTTCTCAGTGTTAATAATGACGGAGTTCCTCATCAGAGGAGGAAAGAAAGGTGCGATGATAGATGCATCAAACTTGGTAATAGGGATACTGGAGGGGAAGGCTGCTTGCTCAATTGCTTCACTTTCCATTGTTGACCAGAAATCATCCACATTGACTTCATCAGGAGCCTGGAAATCTGGCCATGTAAACTGGGAAAAGGAAACAAAAATTAATGTTTTCTATTGAAAGGTTACATTATGCTATTTGGAGTCATTTTGACAGCAAAACAAAAAGGTAAACCATAAACACAGGATTTTAATTGATTTACACTTTAAAGTGCATCATGTTGATATTATTTATGAAAAAAAAATACAGGCATGTAATAGAAAGTAATTACCCAATGAACAAAAAAGTTCAAAACCAGCAATTTGGACTAACTAATATAGTCTAATTAATTTCCATTTATTCTTGTCTTACCTCCATATTTTTCAGATGGAGGACATTATCCGTGTTCCTCTGTGCTATCTCCATCTTTGGAGCAATGCCACACACCCCACAGATCATGTCGTTATAGTCCCTGACAGTGAGACACTCGAAGGCCCAATACCCACTGCACAGCAGCTCCAGAATGTGGGACAGTTCACTGGGATTCAGAGTATTCACTGGGAAAGAAACTGGCAATCAGGGCATCTTCTGATACATGAACTATCAGAAATCCCCACCGGAGATCAACCAGAAACCCTCATTCATTGGAAAGTGTCATTCGCAATGATGTACAAGAGCACATGATGTACAAGATGATGTTTTCAAGGAAGACATTATAAAAAAGTTTTCTTTGTGCAGTCCCAGGACAGTTCCATATGAAAGAAAATCGAAAAGCCCAAGTGCTGTCCTAATTTTACTCGAGTTTTACTCGGTGGATTCATTTTGATAATGAAACAATTAGGAAAAAAATAATTACTTAATGACCAGAAATTCTTGAAGAATAGATTAATCATTTGGATGAATCAAATCAAATCTTAGAGAATAACTGATGAAACACATAATACTAGTATTTTCAACCAGACAAAATACATCATTGTTCATTTTCACCAACACCTTTGAAACTTTATGCTGTGTACTTTTACCTGGCTGGTTCTGAACATTTTCCAGAATTAGTAGTGCAGCTTCTTTTGGGTTGTGCCCCAGTTTGATTTGATTTCTAATCTTGAACAAAATATCAATGCTCACCAACAGCTTGTTGCCAACATTAAAGAGACCTACAAACACAAACAACAAACATTAACTCCTAAGGTTAAAACAGCAGGTAAAATAACTTGCATTTCAATATACTGAGCTATTAGATATGTTACACTGATTAGATGTACTTAAACGTTTTATTACATGGCACTTTTCATAAAATTCAGAGGTTAAAATTAATGCATCATTTAAAATTAATCTCATTCAAGAAGTTTTTTTTTTTAAACGCTGCTTCTACAACTCTGAGAAACTGTAACGAAACTGATAGGCATCATGCAGTCTGCTACCTAAATGGATGTCACTGAAGCTATGAAGTGCCAGACACTGAGGATTCAAACAAATCTTGAGCTGAACAGTGGCAGTTTGTATGTGGGAGTCAGTCAACAGCCAACAGTCTTCTTGTCCAGCTACTGAGCTAAAAATGTAAAAAAAAAACAAGATAAATGACCAATTAGATGAGAAGGCAGTTTCACACACTTCACACAAAAAATGTCAAACTTACTAAAAATCAGCAACAGGCAGAGATAAATGTATTGCTTTTTAATGGAATAAATATTGAAAAATTATATTTTAAGTTTGCAGTTTGTACTTATAAACCACAATAATCACATCAGTTCTGATATCTTCAGTCATTTCACTAGCACAGATTTATGAACCATGTTTTTAGTACTATAAAGTCTACATGACACAGAAGTGGTACACACTGTAACCACCCTGCCAAAAGAAATAAAAATATTTCAACATGCCCATTAAGCATATGTCAAGTCCCAAGCTTTGGTGCCAAATAAGGGACTCACTTCTGCCCGCCTTTGAAGAGAGGACAGTTGCAGAGCAAGCACTGGGAGGCAGAAGACTCATAATAGCGCGGCCATCCTGATTGTTCAATGGCAATGGTCTCTTCATTGGCTGTGGAAAGGACCACTTGGGTGCTGTTGAGCTCCTGGATAAGAGCCATGGCCTCCACCAGCTCGGCCTCACTCTCGGGAATCAGCACAGTCTTACGGAGCAGCTGCAGGGTGGACTGCCGCTGCACCTCCTTCTGGGCAGCGTTCAGGGGTTGGTAAGGGTCCAGCAAGCCAGGGACAGAAACAGGCACGTTCTGTTCAAACAAACACAGGCTCTCAGAGTCCGCCCTGTTTAAACTACCAAATCCACTCAACATCCGATCTGTTATGTACTTAGCTTTCCCAAGCTTTTAAAACCTCATTTAATCCCTGTTTTCCCAACAGCATAATGATGGTAAACAGCAAAAGAGACCTATGTTCCAGAACATCTGAAGCAAGCCTGCCTAGAAATAAGGTTGAAATTCTGTCTCCGAGCTGATACACACACTCATGTCAACTAGAGAAGATTTCAGAAAGAATTCCAGTTGTAAGCCACATTATTTCCTCACAATATGCACTGAATCAGTGACAGACCCCTTTTGGCCAGACCACTGTCTCTTCTCTCTGGCACAAAGTAAAGCAGAGCTCTATAGGCAAGGGCCACTTGTGGCCCTTGTTGAAACAAAGCAGCAAACTCCTGGACAATGATTAAAAGGCTAGATCGGCCAGCTACTTCAAGCCCAATTAACATGATGGGCAGAACTCTTTGCCATAGAAAATGTTTTGTTTTATTATGTATGCCACACCATACACACCCTGCATTCTAGTGAGAGGATCCAGATATATATCAGGAAGTTAAGCATTGTTAGCTGAGGTAATGAGTGATTTACTAGCAAATCAAAAGAGGGTGTTTTCATTACGATGAGCCCACATTAAGTGGGGAGGAGGGGGAGAATTCCTTTGTCTTTACTGACTGTTACTACAACTTAAAGATGTCATACCCACATTGGAACAAACAGAATTATAGACAACAGTCTCAGGGCACACTTACAAACATTTTGGGTTTCTTTTCCGTGGTTAGGTCCCACCCACAGCTGGGGCACATATGTGGTTTGTGCCTGTTTTTGTAAACATAATCACAGGAGGGGTTTTTACACTTTCCTCGTCCACGGGCTGTTGATAACCCAAGATCCTGATGAGAATAAAACACAAGTGCTGAATAAAAAACAATGATTTGTCTGTTACACTTTGGAAGTTAGGAAATGAGTTCATTTTTCTAATACTTTGTAGCTCTCAAATATTTGCCTAGAAACATTTTAGCTCCCCATATATTTCAATATACAGTAAGTCTTACCATGTAAGACCCTGTTAGTCATGTAATTTATGTTCATGACTGAATGGTAAGTGCTGGGGCGAAACTGGCTATGGGAATCATTAAGACAATACTTACAAGAGAGGTGATAGGACTTTGCTTATAAGATAACACTGACACGATCTTCACTCCTTTTTCAGTCAAAGCATTTGAATTGCTATTGATTGGACTAGGAAGAGCCTAAAGACATGGAACAACACCTCAGAAAAATGTAGGAATCATGGTGCACAAAAGATTAAATTGAAAGTGACTTGATAAGAAAGTATCCTGATCTGTTTCACATTCTCATAATTGACAAAACATTATTAATTATGTTAATTGATCTTAGACTTATTTTCTATATATTAATCACATAAATGTGTATTTGGAGAGAAAATGTAAAAATTGTACTAATACATCAATTGACTAAAAGAAGCAAATCATCTCACTTGTTCTTCATTCACTGATTTGACTGGATGTCCTAATTGCTTCAATGTACTGGGCTTCAGTCCTGACACCTTTACAGAGGACCTCTTTGCTATAAAAAAGAATAGAAACAAATATACTAATACAACCTTAATCATAACTTATAGCATTTATCTACAACTAAAAACAATGCAAAAGAAAAGCTGCAACAGTGTTTCAGAATATACTCCACCTTGTGTTAAGCATTTATCAAATTTGTTCACCAAAATCATGGCAACACTTACAGCTACCCTGCTCTAAAGGAACAGGTAAAAGTTTGTTCCATTCTGCTTATGCTTTCACTTCAGAAGTGAATGGCTTAAATTAATATGGTTAGCAATACTCATTCAATGTGTTATGTTCAATATCTCGTGACTTTGCTTTTAGTTTTGTCAGTGCCACTCGTTTAGAAAGTCTGCAGAATGCTATACCATGGTCAGCCTATGGTTTTGAAAGGATCTTTAATTCATAGTTTGGTTGCATGCAAGACAGATACCCAAGACACATTAATGGCAATGGCTAATTCACACTGCTCAAGGTTAAAGCTTACTTGTTTTGCCGTTATTCTTGGGTGTTTCTAAATCCTTCATTTTATTTGGAGGCAGAGCTACCCATTGGACATAAGTAGTACCGTGATCAGGACCTGTTAACGGGGAAAATAATTTAATTCTGATTGATGACTTTTTGCATAGTGGAATCTTATTCATGTGGATGTTTTCTTCTTTTTAAATTCTTCTGAATGTATTTTGAGTTTCAAAAGGTTTTACCCATAAGTCTTGTTCTACCAAAGTTAAAAGAAATAGAAGCCTTTTACAAAGACATTCCAGGAGACAGCGGAATAAATGCGCATATAAAACAAAAGTTCTTTAACATACAACACTTCACATTATGATGCACTTTTTCTTTAGAAGAAGTTTACAAACCCCTCCCACCCAAACAATATTCTAAAATGTGTTACTCAACTCCAAGTAAGAAGAAAATAATCAGTAACATCTCACCTGTCTGAGTAGGAGCAGGGAGAATGGCTCGTATTGGACGTTTTGACCCAATTACTGTAGACTTCTCTCGCAGTTTGGTCTTCATATTGGAGACATTTATAACGGGAGAACTACTGTGAGAAATCAAACTTGATCAGACTTCAAATTTTGACAATTTGATTAACCATTTTCTTAATCTCTTTACATCACTGAAAGGGGGCAATTTTCCCTACAGATGAAAGGTCAGTCTTCCATCTAAAAAATTAAAATAATTACAAAATAAGGACCTTAAAGTATAGCTGACAAATTTCAAATTGATAAAATATTCCACATGAGGGATAAACATAAAAAATTCCATGTATATTATATATTAGAATATTACAATAACAGTAAGAAAGTAAATTACTAGATCTATACTTAAAGGTGGTATCTTACACTGCAGGATTCTTTGTCGAAGGAAGCATTAAGGCTGGACTTTTGTTTCTGGTGCCCCCTGGTGTTGACTTCTCTGTAATTGCAGGCCATTCTACTCCAGTATTTTTGGTTCCCTCACTCTCCAAGTCACTTCCCTCTGTCCTGCACTGGGTGGCACAGACTGTACCGGCTGGGCTTGTTGCCAGCATTTCTTTCCACTGTGCTTTAGCGTCAGTGTCACATGAGGACGCTGCCACAATAAGCTGCGTCACTGACTCCGAAGACTCCAGAGGTGGTAAGCTGACCTCACCAACACATTTCTGCTGCTCTCGGGAAGAGCCTCTGTTGACTGCAGCTGCTGTTGTTGTTGCCCTGGACTGGGCTTTCTTTCCCTGCTGAACAGTGCGCAAGAGAAGCCATCAGTTGGGATCAATACAAGCCAACGCATTTTCCATTTCTGCAAAACGCTTGAAAGGGTGGCACTTTGTTAGCAACTGTAAGATTAAAGTATTGGCGAGGATTCTAGACTCCTAACTGGAGACTGTGTTTTGTAGTCCTCACCGCAGAAACGTCTTGTTGTACCTGTGAGGAATAATCTAGTCTACCCAGCTGTGTAAATGGGTACAAGTTTCCCCCAGCAATGCTGAGTAATGGACTTGCATCCCATCCAAGGCAGTATTACATACTGTAAACTCAGACTGCTAAACACTACAGAAACCACAGTGAGATTCAGCCTAATGAGGTCCTAGACATAAGTAAGGACTTTACCTATAAAAAACAGGAAGTCACTGCTGGTAAAAGATCATATTATGATAACTATAAGCATCTCGAATCCTGCTTCTAGTATGCCTGAACCTCTGCATGGACATTAGTGATGAATGCGCCAGGGCTTAACCTGTTCTGAAACCCACACAGCACCACCTTACTGACACATCACAAACCACTAGGTTTTCTATCCACAAATATACAAAATTATAATAAGGCCTTTTCTGCAAAGAGGCAATCAGATAAGGTGTTTTTAATGGCTTATTGTATAAACAATATTAAGAACACAAAGATCAAAGATGGCATTCTTCCAAAGGCTACTCGACACAAAGTGCATGCATCACAGAAATGGTGTGCCTTAATACGATTTTCTTCTACCCCGCCCAGGCAGGAAGAAAGAAAGATTTGGACTTACACTGGGAACCCACTTCCCACCCAGGTGCTTTCCACACTGAGGACACTGTGGGGGCTTGTGCCGAGTGACATAGGTGAAGGAGCAGCCTGGGGTCTGACAGCTTCCTCTCCCCCTCCTGGTGTATTTTATTGACTACAACACACAGACATCACAAGCCTTTACAAACCCTTTACCAGATAACTGTCACCTCACTACTGCATCGAACCTTTAATGTCATTACCACACTGGAGCACAGGAGCAATTACAACTCATGTGGCACCCCCGTTTTCAAAAAGATGGCGCCTGCTGATTAAAAAAAAATGTTTTGGCCATTCATAGAAAAAAAAACATGAAGAAAGTATTTACTTTACAATTTGTGAGAAAATGTTTAATCACACGCATTGTTAAGTACTTCTATCATATTAAAAAATACAGATATAGCTGTTTATACAATTTTAATTTAAGTCAGACAAAAAAAGAGTAAATATAAATAAACTGACCAGTTTAAAGGATGGTTTTGGGTTTGGGTCAGGCCTTGTGTTCAAAGGAACCATAACAAGTGGACTGGTTCCAGCGGAGACATTGGTATCCACCAGCTCCTAGAGAAGCAATTGGAACATTTCATCATTTCTATTAATATCCTAAATAACATAAGGGTTTGTTTTACTGAAACAAAAACAAAATGTGTTGTGACACAAAAGATTAGCATAATTCACTACATTTCTCACACATAAAGCCTTGGGTACTGTTGATATACTGTATTAGGGATTGAAAACCCATCAAGATAGTTCTGTGGGTTTTCAGCAATGAGAAAGCTCATTTCTAAGTTTATGAAAGGTATCTGGAACCCACAGGGCTCTTACGTAGTGCCAGCCCTTAATGAATCCAGATGGCTGAAGGCTGTGTTGAGGTGAGGGAGAAGATAATAAATTAACCTGTAGGCTAATCCTACATGCTCAGATACGATTCAGTTTTCTAATACGGCATGTTAGTAGTTCTGCCAAGTTCAATATTTGTCTCTGCTGTAGTTCTAATAAGTCGGTCAGGCATATTACACATGTTTTTAAATAGGCGTAGTCATTTTTAATAAATGTATAATTGCCAATTACTTTTATGGCGACTAACTTTGAATCTGCCAATCAATATTTAAGCCAAATCACTTCAACACCTGGGCCACAGCAGGGACAAAGACACCACTTGGCATGCACCCAAGCATGCATTATCAAACTATTCCAATCCTTTGCACCGCAGGCCTTCAATACAAACAACAGGATTCTTGTGTTAGACAGGGGACTGAACTACTTCTAAATAATATCACAGCCTAGTTGGCTTGTCGGTACAGGCCTAAACTCCTCCCACCCCCGGTGGTGCCACAAAAGTCATTGCAAACAACAGCCAGTGCCGAAACAGCTTAGGAGGACCCTATTTACTGAGCACAAAAAAATTTGACACCCCCCCCCAGAATCCAGCCAAACCTGATTTGGAATGATAGTGACAAGGTGGGTTTCTTCCTGAGTCTGCTGCACAGTCGGGCTGGTGACAGTCGCTTCTTCGATGAGCACGCTGACCGCTCCATAGCCTTCGGTCATCTCCACTGCCTCCTCTTTCACCACAAACCCTGTAGCTGTTCCATCCTGGCTGGCCCCGGAGTACTGGGACAGAATCTCCTGAAGGGCCCCAGACTGTGTGAGAGCCGTAGCCGTCTCACCACTCAGTGCCTCGATGGCGATGCACTGCTCAGACAGCTCTACCTCGCTGCCGAGGCCCATAGGGGAGAAGAGGGCCTCGTGAGAGAGGGTGTGAGGAATGGGGGTGCCCTCCTGCTGCTCCTGAGCCTCGGTCTCCAAACAGACTTCCACCTGATTGACCGCCCTTTCGTCTGCTACAGCACTTTTTGGTAAAATATAATAATTTGCGCGGGGCAGGATTTTGCGGAAACCTGGGACGTCTGCTGAAATTCCAGCCATCTGGTTATTCTGGGGGGGGGGGAGAAAAAGGGAATGTAACGTTGAGCAGTCATTAATTTTTCAGCATGTTTGCCCACATCAATCCGTTTGCAGGCCATTCATTGTGTAAATACGACCACTAGCTAAGTGCTGTGAATGATTGAAATGTCACAGAATTTTGAAGGCTTCAATCGTATATATATATGCAAAGCACGTAAATAAGGAATTAATTTGTGCCATTTATTGTTAAAAATCACCAGGAATTTTAGAGGTAATCATTCAGGCAAGGCTCACCGTATGCACATAAACACTACAGTTTTAGCAGGAGGGTGGAGGTGACAGCCACCTTAATTAAAATGAAAGGCTAATATAGTGGTCAGGCAGCAAAATAAGGACAAAATTAACTCACTGGATCAATCCCTTCCTTCTCCAGCTTGGCTCTCTCCAAATAATAGCCCTTGTCTGCTACATTCAGTCTCTTCCAGCTTTCACTGATCCTCTTATTGATTTCTGATTGAGGGATGTCGGGATATTCCTGCTGCATACTCTGATGTATGTCAAAGTAGTAGAGCAGGTATGCTGACCTGAAAGCATGACGATTAAAAATTGAGGACAATTGCTGTGTGATCGAATATACAATTAATAAAATAAAAAGAAACCATCAAAAGCTTTGAGTGATTTTGTGGAAATTAAACCCACGGACACTCAGACTAGGAAGAGGTTACATTAAAGTAATCTCTAGATATATTTATAAAGAATATTTATCTACATACAGAAATCAATGGTGTACTTTAAAAAATATATATAAAAAGGCTATATTGTTTTATCACATGCAATACCTTGGCTTTTTTGCTTTTTCTGCATTTTCCCCATGATTTTTACTCTTCTTTTTCCTTTTGGGTGATGAGACCTCCATAAAGGTATAACATCCTTCCACATCTTCTGTTATTATCTTGACTTCTGCACCCTCATAAACAGCCTCCATTACTGCAGGCTACAATGATAAACGTGCAACAGTAAATAATAATAACATTTTGCATCGAAGCAATCGTAAGAAACTCAAAATACAACAGCACTAACGCAAGACACAACCAAAGTAAAACAAAAGAGAAAACAAAACACATTGAATTGACCCAGTTAAACCAAGAACAAAATACAAGATTCTACAATAAAAGCCATTTTGAAAGGAAAGGTGTTTAAGTCAGTTTTATAAATTTCAACAAGAAGAGACTATAATTCTCTAATTGATTGGCACATATGTGCAGATGTAGTGCTGTACAAACAAAAGAGTGAGGGGTCTGGTCTTCAGTAGTGTAATAAGTTGTGAATGTCATATTAATAGGCTATACCCATGCAATAGGTTAATAATCTGGAGATAGATACCTCAGTTGTTTATTCACAGGCAAATGAACTTTCACGTCCACTCTTTTTTTCCCCCACAGGGAGCCAAAGTAATATACAAAGGAGGAGGATCATGTGCTGATGCCCAGTGTTAGTTAGCACACAAGCCAATAGAATTCAGACCATACTGAAGCTTCCAGGTTCCTTGGAAGTAACCCTAGTAAGTAAGGCATTGACATAGTCTCATATGATTTTTAACATTTTGTTTATAGTTTAATGCCATATCATGAAACAGTATACAGTCAGAACAGCCAAACGCCAAATGGAAAAATCCAAGATCTCAATCCCTATCCCTTCCACCCCCACCTGGAATGGCAATGCATCCCATACTTACAAATGCACATCATCAAATGTCAGCCAATATAAAGAACAAGTATGAAAGAAAACAAAAGAAAGAATTCCAAAGGCAGTCTAAACTTACTCAAATAGATAGATAGATAATACTTTATTAATCCCGTAGGGAAATTGATGTATTACAGCAGTCCAGCCCAAGACAAGCAAAACAGACATCAGAATAGTTATAAAATAAAACACAAACACAATAAATAAAAATAAATAAATACATAGGTGTATTTAGGTGTAGGTGTAAATAAAGGCATGCATTAGTCACAGACACAGAACAACAGTGGAAACCTAGCAATTTAATGCAAGTATAAGTAAAGTACCCTTTTGATATTTTCACCATGCATTTCAAATGACAACAGAGGATCCAAAGAAAGACCAAGGTATCACGGGTCAAGGGCTTTATTTCAGTCGGCAAACACAACTTTGTAGAGCTGACATTGAGAGCCTATGTATCTTGTCACAGACTTATTTAAGTTGGGTACTTACTGTATGTAACTTTACTTAATGCAAAGTGTTTAAACTGCAGTACTGGTAGAGCATTTGAACTGCAAATAAATCTAGATCTTGTCACAAAACTCCATGAAACACCATCTGTACGTGGGGCAGCATCAGACTTAAAATAGACAGGATTCATGAATTGGCTCCTGATATCCATACAGGGGTCAGAGGAAGTTTCCTCACGAAACTAGTTAGTGTCCTCTGTACTCCAGGAGGAAGGTGTGAATGACAGTATCAAAAACTGCACTTTATTGCATAACAAGCACAGAATATTATATGGCAAATATGAAAAAAAAAATCTGACTTGCAATTGAAAGTCATTATTTTGTTTCATTTTAATGGAAATAATCATTTATTGAAATTGGAATAGAGGCATGCCTTTGTGAATTCCTGGAGGCACTTTGTGACTACCACTATAAGACAGTACACATGCACTTCCAGTGGGAAATGCTTCACATAAAGCACTTCAAAGGCCAGATAGTGTACGGTGATGAATACATGACTACAACACAGGAAAAATACTTCCAAAGATGAGAAACTTCACCTGTGTTTAAGTACATACTGTATGATAGGGAACAGTATTAAGATCTAGGCTCTGAGGATCAGTCAGCAGTGAAAAATATATATTATAGCAGCAAAAGAAAATCAAAACGATTCATACTGTAGTCACATCTGGACATGTACTGTACCTGTCAAAATGAAAGTAAACACATTCAAAACAGCACCTGCACGCGAAAAACCGACATTGCATGCGTTATAAAAGCCACAGCGATCGTGTGGTGCAAACCTGTACAGGTAGAAAATCATAAAAAGCAGAACGCTTTTCCAGAATTGAAAGGCTCGTCATAACACCAAAAATGTAAAAGGAATGTATTTTATTCCACGACGACTGCATAGGGTTAAAAAAATAAGACAATAAATCGTAAATATACTGAAGATGGTAAATCACACCTGTATTTCTTTTGACAGACGATAATTATATAATGACATTATTTTATAGGAACTTACTACTGCAGTTAGGCACATTAATTCGTATTGTAAATACGTAGCGATTTTTTTGTAGTGAAAAGATTTGCTTTCTGAGACAATGAGGCTAAAAATATCAAGTAGCTTGGTTTCATTTGTTTCAGCATTGTTGTAGTAATGAGTTATGTAGGTTAGAGACAAAGCACGTGGAAACAAAAGTAAAGAAATAACACTAGAATAATTACAGCTGTCAAGATAACAGTAACGCAGATACACCAGGGGGCTTTTTTATCAAAATCAATAGGATGTGGACCACATTTCCAACACGGGACCTGCATACTAAAAGTTAAAACTATGGTTGCAATATGATCCTCTACTTTACTCAGCATGGTTTTATTGCATAATATAACTAACAACTGAAGTGAACGATTTTATTGCAATTTTGTTTCGTTTCAGTGGAAACATTCCCCTTTCAGCACCGGTAAGTAGTGCTCCCTCAGCTACTCCCTCCCAATTAAAAATCTGGGTTATTCGTGTGTCTCCATACTGACTTCGGGCACCGACAAGTATCCAATGAGCTGAAGTCTTATTGCAACCTTGCATCCTGCAGCACACAAACTCTCTAAACACCCTGTAAAATGTTCGCTTTTCATCCCTAAACTCGTCCACCTCATTATATATCCTCAGTCACTGGAAACAGTTTGTTTAATGCGTTAGATCTTACCTCCTGAATCCATAGGACGGCCTGTTGCAGACGTCTTTGCTTCCCATCATCCTCATTCAAGATGGCGCCGCTGTTGCCTAAACAACGAACCAATCCAGTAGCTGGATAAATGTCAGCAAGCAAATCAGAAGAGACATTTTAGACACGTGAAAAATCATAGCCTGGGCCGAAGTCGCCAGCAACCATTCTCTTAAAGAGACATCTTGTACATTATTTAGTCGGTGTGTTTGAATCTATCATTGTTTTAATACTAAGTATACATAGTATTTTCTAACAAACTCTTTTTCATAGTACCTATGTGTTTAACCTTCCGTTATCTGGGGAAGAACGACCACACACGAATGGGATCGATAGCATATTTGCTCAAACAGTACATTATAACGTTCCTATTACCATAAACTACTTTCGATACCGAATTTCTTTATCTCCTCTCATTTATGTCTCCTTTTCTCTGTTCGTGCATCCCATCTGAAATCTCTACATCCATCCTGTTTTTGTCACTTGATGTGCGATAATAGAGACTTCTATCTTAGTCATTTATGCAGAATTCTACACAGAAGACATTGTAACTCTTAAGTGAACAAAATGAACCTCATATCTAAAATTATACACGAGCAAAAACTGTCCTATAATAGTAGAAGATAAATGTATATAATAGTAATATTCTTTCGTTATTTAAGTGCTAGAAACAATAAACTTTTCCCAACTCATTAATTGATAATATACTTAAGGGAGTCAACATTTTGTGATTAAAATACTGAATTCTACAAGATACATCACCTTAAGTTGAAGATTAAAATAACAGAGAATGTCAAGCACTGGTTTTCAATATTTGACCTTAACGCTAACTTTCCAGTAAGAGAAAACAATTCTAAGGGAAAAAAATGTGTCAGCAAGTATTTTAAGAAATAGATTTTAATACTTGGAATAAAGTGCAATCGTTTTTGTAATGGTAAAAGTAAAACAATAAAACCCATTTCCATTGCAACAAAAAGGGTCCCAAAGATGTAGAAATTAAGATAAAACGACATGTGAGCAGTGACTTAAGAAATTGAAAGTATTTTTTACATTGTTGCATACATTTCGTTAGCTTTGGAGCATTATTTTTAATAACATTACTACGGGTTCTGGAATTACAACCAAAACTATGCTAATAGTGTGTTTTCAACCATATAACAACATAAAAAAAATAGTTCTTTCCTTGAAACTGAACCTGTAGCATCTTTAAAAGAACTAAAATAATGCATCTACATACACATTAAAAATATTAGAAACATGAACAGGCTCATACTGAATTTGACAATGGTCTGGATTATATCAAATGTTAATGGGAATGAAAAACAAATCAGGATTACTTCAACTGATCATTTAATGTACTGATATTTCTTAATTAACCATTAAGAAATATTGGGCATCTCTTATAAAAGCTCTATAAAGCATTTGAGCAATAGAAAGAGTTATGTTAGAGGTTTGTATTTTGATGATGTATTGATTAATGATTTATTAAATGTTTTCCTTCTTATAATTTGATAAAGCAGCTTAATGCAAGTATTCATCCAGCACAGAATATTTCAGAACCATTTCCTCAATACATAAATCTAGCATCAGGCATGTACACAACGTTATTCTACGTTTTTTTGTATGCATGTTGATCATTTGATTGAAATGATGCCTAATTTTGAACAAAAAATGTAAACAACCATGGGGAAGCCCTTAAAAAAGGATATTTCTCAAATATTTCAGTGAGCAGTTATGATACAACATAATACTGTAAGACACAAATACACAATATAATGAGGATTGCTTATTTCATGACATGATACACCAGATACAAAACTGGAAATAAGCAGACATGATGACCAGTTTGTGTTGGGAATCGACTGTCTATACCAGAGCTTAGACAAAATAAAAACTTAAATGGCAACCTTCTTTATAACAAATGGATACTGAGGCAAGCAAGATGACAATCCATGTACTTCACTGTACTGCTATGCTAAATGCCTACAAAATATTCATTTACATTTTCTCCAAGTGGACAGAGAAGGGACTAGAGAAGTAATATTCACTCCTGGTCCTGAAGGATGACAGTCTACCACATATTACAGGTCACTTAGAATTCTCAACAAGGAAAGACTGTAAACAGTAGTAAGACAAGTAGATAAAGTAAACTATCAGGTCATACAAAGTCGTTAACAGTCCAGGAGGAAACAAAGCCAGAAGACATGGATGCCCTCCATGACCAGGAGAGTCAGTGGTCTAAACAACGGAAATGTTTCAGATCTTGCCCGTTACACATAGGTTGCAAAATTTTAGTTAAAAACTGGTATAAACTCAAAATAAGGAAGATAAGCTCACTTGTTTTCCTAAAATGTGAAAGTGAAATAATATTTTTATCCTCATAAAATGGCTACATGCTACAAGAGATGGCAGATAATGATGTGAGGAACCACACAGCAAAGAGAAATAGATCACATTTCCTCATGAACAAAGATATTTTACAGTATCCGATAGCATTTGGAATGATGTGCAACCTGCAAAACCAGACTGAAATGGAAAAAAACAGCAGCTTCAGGTTTTTCAAGGAGCTTTCAAGGTTCAATTTCTAACCCCCAAAAAAGTAGAACCCATACTTTTTCAAGTGAAAAAACTTCCTCCATTCAAGTACATTTGTTTTATTTTTCTCAGTCCAATGAAGTTTTGACGTTTGTTTGCACTTCTGAGCTCTGTTCTTGTGACTCGTTGTTGAGAGCCTCAAGGGGCAGATTCCTCATCTCTGCAATGAGCCGCTTGACTCCTACCATCCACTGACTGACTTCATTAACATGATCCACCATCAAAGAGCGGTGCATCTCATCAGCAAGGTCCCAGTTCTGTCTCTTCATTTCTGTAAAACAACAAGTGCCACCATGGACAGGATTAGGTGTAAATGTTTCACTGCCAAGTATAAAAAAAATACAATCGCACATCAAGGCGAAAGATGAAAATTAAATTCTACATGTTGCCGACGTATAAATGAAAAGTGGATGAAGAGATGGAAGACTTAGAAATGCACGTCAACAGGTGTGAACACATTTCTGTGTTACAGCCCTCATACCTTGAATAAGAAGGTTCATTCTTCTCTTTACAGAAAGGGACAGCTTTCCGTTTCTCCACATCTCCTCAAAAAGTTTCAACCGCCTACCGACATCATCACAAACTTGCTTCTGCAAACAGAGAGAGTGTCTCAGGCTCTGATCAATCCAATCAAGACTCACTTCACAAAATAACATGTAATGTTATTAACATATTAATGTGATATTTTCTATAGAAATGCAGAATATGTCTATTTGTCAAGCCAAGTTTTATTGTATGCATACAAGGAGCAACACATTTCAGGCTTATTGTTGTATTGCTCAGAAGGGATATGGCTCTACACAGCTTATATATACTTTTCTCCACACCCTCCCCCTCCTGTCTTTGAGGTAGCTTTCTCAAGAAACTCCAGGACTCAGAAAGCACTTAAAACATTCCTTCCTTATCAAGAGTTTAGTATAAACATTCCCCTTCAGGGAGTTTAGTACAGCAGATGGAAGTGCAGTACAGGGAGGGAGAAGCATCTGTGCTAAACCAAGCGTGAAGGTTAGAGTTTAGCATGTGAATTCAGCAGGAGTTCACAGCTCCTACCACTATATGGGTACAGAGTAATATACAGATTCTGCTAGCAGACTCCATCACCACATTGACCATGGCATTTATATTTATTTTTTAAAATTTCACATGCAACCACGCAATACTTTGTATTGGGTATATTTATACTGAAACAGGGCAAAATGTTTTCCACAAAGCATTCAGAAAGCCGTCGTCTGACCTTGACTGTGTGTTTGCAGGCTGACAGAGCCCAGCTGAGCTGTGCCATGACATCGTCAACATCAGGTTCGTTTTCTCCAGCTGCAGGGTCAGAAGGTCCAGCGCGACTCACTGCAGGACATTGCAGAGGACGTGTTGCCACTCCACAGGGGGGAGGAGCCAATGGGTTCAAGGGAGGAGCAGAAGGCACGACGGGGGGCGGAGCTCCACTAGGAACAGAAGCTACGAAAATGCCAGGAAAACAGGAAAGAGGTCGTTTCAATTATTCTGTTGGCAGGCTGTCATTCATGGTTTTATTTTTATTTCTTCATCCAGGTGATCAAATTTGGATTTTTATTTAAGTTGCAAATACTCCAACTCAAAACAAAATTCATCACTGAGCAGACACCATACAAGAGAAACTTTACATAGACAAGTTTAAGGTGTTAGATATCAGATGAGTGAGAACTAGAACAAACAATGCAAGGGAAAGAGCTATGAATTTATTCTGACTCCTCAATTTCTTAAACTATATAGTGTGAGGAAATACCAAACACCACCTGTACATGATATTAGGAACTTATTATCATAATAATACAAGGACTCTGCAACACAAGTTTAAATTCAGCTCAGGAGTGTTGAAGACAAATATCCAGGAGAGGATAATTACACAGAGTATTTTGGAAGAATGCAACTAGTTCCCTACCTCCATTAAATTCCTTAAGAAATGGATCAGAGGATTTAGCATCAAGGTACTAGCAAACCACACAGGCAAGATGGGCCAGATGGCAATCTCTCACCTGCTACGTTGATGTACCAAACTACTAAAACCTTTAATTAACAACATAATGGCACAAAAAAAAGACTTTTCCAATTTTACAGACTGATGTGAGCACATTCGAATGAAGGTCTAGGCTTCACCATACTCACCCTGTGACGCGTCAAGCTGAGGTGGAGGTACTCTTTTATTTAAGAGATTCCGTTTGCTCCCCACTGCCTGTGTCTGTAAGCCATAGGAAAACTGTGGAGGGTCATTCCAGCCCCTCTCCTGGTTACCTGCAAACCAAAGAATGTAACTGAAACTAAGATATTTAAATATTCCCTTGCAAAACTGAAATGGCTCATTAAATTAAGACCGTTTAAGTTTGAAACGCAAGAAATCGACACAAGTATTCAGTCCGCAAAACGCCTCTGTACTCTACTCTTTGTAAAACGTTCTGGACCCTGACTTCAAAATTAAAGCAGAAGAAGCTTGTAATCCTACCTGCAAGTAACCCCGATCCAAAACTGACTACAATGTATTTTTTTAAAGTTTCGTCTCTGAAACTGTCACATATATTCAAAAGAAACACTAAAATCAAAGTCTTTAAAAAGGAATCCAAACAGTGAAGCTAGACTGCAGTGCTGAAACCTTCTCACTCACACTTGACAAATGCATAACAAAAACATTTATAACACCTTTATCTTCCCATTTAATAAAAACAAAACCTCCAATTGCAATAGTCATTAATAAAATCACACGGAAAAACTTCAGCAACACTGAAAGTAAAAGTAAAACACGAATCGTGATCTTTTATTAACTTTACACTAACGTCCTGTTATACATTCCGACCCACTTAAATTAAAACTCAGTTCAATGTATTTTGATTTTACCTGGTTTAACGTAGAACTCTGCCATTGCACTTCCTGCCAAATCACCGCTTCACCCGATATATCCGGGATCCATGAGCTGTAAACCCTGACCGGTTGTTTTGATTCCGGGGAAGAGTTTCCGGCTATACTTTAGAACCACGGGATTGGTTGTTCAAAGTTTGTGTATATGAGAAAAAAAATCAATGAGTGACCCAGGTGCTATAGCTGTGGTCATGCAAACCACTGAAAATACATCCAGTACTTACACTCAGTGCTTGTACATCTCAGACGTCATTACTGATGTGAACACTTTCCATTTGACCTTCAACAAGTTATGAGTGATTAATACTACTTTCATAAGAGACACCCAGACAACATTTTATATATCTGTTTAGGGAATGTATTTTATATTTATCTTTATGTCTCTGGACTGAAAAATAATAAGCATAAGTGAACACCATTTACAGGGATCTGTTTATGTTCTTTTTGTATACATTTTTAGTGATTTCCGTCAACACCTCAACATTTCCATCATGATCTACCAAGTGATTTTGTGTTTTTTAATATTAGTTCATCACCAGACAGTCTGTCAGCATGTCTCAGGTAAGAACAGATAATCATACAAAGTAATTTTAAAATGTAAAAAAAAAGTATTTTAACATATCTGGATTTTATCCCTTCTCTGAATAATTTATGTACAATATGTGAAATATCTACAGGTGTTAAGTATTTTTCAATTTAATTTTGCTTGCTTTATTGCACTTCATATATTTTACAATATAAGCATTTGTCAGATTCACAATGTTGTTTAGTTCACATCATGTTTATAAAGAATTGCTTCATATGCTAATTTATTTATATCTACTTTTCCTGATAATTAAATCCAACAGATACTACTGTATATTAGTGACGTTTCTTCTTTACTTAAGGTCATTTAAACATTAAACACATCTAAAATTACAGTAAAGCAAAAGTAAAGAACACATTCCCTAAATTAATTTTACAAATTGTTTTATGGCATTTTAAAAGCATTTTCTACTCCGAATACATTAACAAAATATGCAGTAGATCTACAGTATAACAAATTAGGAAAATGTTTGTCCCCACATCCTATACAAAATTAATTGAAAGCACAAATGACTCAAAAATCATTATTTTTCCTTAATTATATTTTTATTATGAAAAATAAGCTTTTAATGTGCTTCATGGATCTGAAATTGCACTGTAATCATCACTGACAGTTCAAGTACGGTATTGTGTCATTGTAAGGAAAACAGAAATAGATTTTAAATTAGCTCTCTGCTGACTCCAAGCACCCACTAAACCTTATGTGTCAATAATAAATAAATACTACTTAATAAACTAATGAAATCATATAATTTACCTGGTATCTTCAGCCAGCTTTCAGGAATAGCGTCAAATGCAGTATGGACAAAAACCTTCAGTTTCATGGAAAATAGTTTAGATTTTTATTTTTAACATCTGTGTTATCCTTGCTCCTTATTTTTTTCAACAGATGTAGTTGAAATCAGTTGCACAGCTGGATCTACAGTTCAGCTCCCTTGTGAAGTAGGGACCAGGTTTTGGAATGCAAACCCTGATGCTGGAGTTTCATGGTACAGATGCTCCGATACAACGTGTAACCAGCTGCTCATCACCTACACAGCCACAGAAAAGCTGATCGTAAAACAAGACGCAAAGAGGATAAGTTTTCAGTCCAGGAAAATTAAGCAACCTCACTTCTCCATTATCATCAAAGATATCCATCACCAAGATGAGGGGTTGTACCAGTGTGTGGTGTATAATCTACATCAAATAGAAACAACACACACAGTACATCTCAAAGTTACCAATGGTAAGGCTTTGATGGCTAAATTCTCACCATGATTTTCCTAATCATTACAGACCTGTGTAATACCAAAAGCCTTAGGAAATCGTAACCTTTTCATACAGTGAAACACTTATTTTCAGTGTGCCTGAGATTTTAATTTCAAATGTTGTGAGGTTATGTGAGTAAACTGTTTGCTGAAAGCTTCTCTCTGCCTTTGAGCTGCTTCCTGTGTGTCGAAGTAGCTGCCATACAGTACATGTTTTTTAACCTCCTTTGAAATAAGGTCACCTCTAGAAGGTTATAACAGCATGGTAACTTCAAAATGAGAGGTTTGCATTAAATCGGGATGGTGTGAGATCTAATCTCTCCGTTGAATTCTGGATTTTTTTTTTGTCATCTGTGGCTTTATATGAAAATTGCCACTCTACTGTAAATCCTTGAAGATATGATTAAGTGATCAGTCTTTTATTGAAGAGAGGTTTTGCAACCTGAACAAATGAAGATCAAGGATAACTGAACTGAAACTGAGTTAAGAATGAATATATGTGAATATTGATCTAAACATTTTGGTAAATACTGTAGTGGGTCTGAGCCTTGCATTTTTCCTACATTTCTCCTTGCAACATGTAGAAAATACTGTACTGCACATTTCTCAAAAGAATTCGGCATATTTTGCCTCAAATTGGCAATCAAGTTACACCTTTTTGTCCTGTTTTATTCTAAATTATAACAATATTTAATGGGAGTACATGGGGTTTGATAAAGAAAAGAGGCAACTTCATAAATACATAGATTCAAACATACAAAATGAAATGGAAGGAACATTATGGTTGTTCATGTTGAGATTGTGTTCATTTAGTGTCATAGCTTGTTAGGTTAAGAAAGAAAGCCTATTCACATCTTTCTCAATTTCTTAAAAAGCACTGTAAAAAGAGTAATCTTATAATATGAATAGACATATTGAATATTCATGTGTTTCCTGCTCAGTTTTATTTTTCTTCTTTTTATTTTTTTTTTTACAAGCACAACAGAGCCATCTAAATACAAGACCTTCAGACAGTCTGAACATTCAAGCTGGCTTAACCACAGTTTCCTTTAAAGAGCAGTCAAGGATAGAAAGATCATCTCTGCTGTCTACTGTCACCATCACAGCACTATGTGTCACCTCCATTTTCCTCGGTCCATTACTCTTTTTCTTCTGGAAGTACAGACAACATCAGCAAAGGTGAGACCGATGGCACTCATTTTCAAACCGTGGAATCTACCCAGGTGTACTGTTCACATAATGTCATGAAACTGGTTGCACAACCTCAGATTACACACTAATAGGAAATGATGGAGAATTCTGAAAATAAAATAAAATCTAATCATTGAAGAGAGAATGCCACATTAATGCATGCATAACAAATTAACAATTATATTATTTAGATCTTATAATTGACAATAAAGCATACTGTAGTGAGTTTGCCACTACTGACCCAGTGTAGTGACTGTTGTTTTCTGTTTAAAATTTGAAGATATAGAACTAGGAAATATCTTACTATAAAAGTAACTGAAACATAACAAAATCAATCCATCAGATTTTATTTTAATCTATGGATTGGAAAAATATGGACACACAAAATCAAAGGTCCCTTTTTGTATCTTATCTTCACCGGAATAAACTCTCCCACAGAAAGTTTCCATCTGCACAAAGAGTTTGTAATGTTGAAGTTTCTTTATGATAAAAAACAAGAATGTGTTTTTTTAAAATAATTTTCCCAAAATATTTACATTTGCGGTTTCACTGCAGTAGCGCTATTTGGAATATAGCATTTAATTATATCTCAAATGTCAGCCAAAGCATATTAGAACACGTCTGTATGCCTGTGGTTGATTAACATGCAATCTGAAGTATCCTGATGTCCTTTAAATCCAATAAACATCTCAAAATCAAATTAGCACTATCTCAATTGAATAGACAGTATACGGTACTGAATGTACAGTAGTTTGCCGTAAGCACTGAAAAACCATTCACTAAATAGTGCTGTTAATTCAATACAGTAGATAATTATACAGTTTCTAATTAATGACCAATGTTTGTTGATTCTCTCAATTCATTCTTGCAAGGACTGGAGGCACTTGTAGTCGGAGCAATCTTGGTCAGAGGATGGGTGATGAGCATATATACGCAGAAGTCTTCACGAACGCCTTCCAAAACAGCATTTCAGGTTAGCATCATTGTTTCTTAAGGTCAGGCTTAAATTCCAAATTCATTTAGTGGGTTATGGTAGCATGCCCAGGGCGGGTAATGAGCCTTCTGACCCCTCTGTTGCAGGACAGACCCTGGGTCATGTCATTAGCCAAGTATTACTGGAATGCAGAAGTGGACAATGATCAGGATTTTAGCATGGACATTACTTTTCCTGGATCTTCTTTGGATTTGAGAAAATAGAGATGCGCTGGTGACCTGCTGGGCTCTTGGCATAAAGTCCAAAGAACCTCTCCAAGCCTCCCCACTGTAAGGCACTCTGTAGCTTGCAGCATATGAAAGGATAAATAGCTTTGATGAGTGTGTCACAGGAGCATGACTCTGAGCCCTCATTCTCCACATGTAGTAGTCTAATTAACCCATAGGTTTAAACAGTTGGCAATCAGAGAATAGGTGCTTATTTAAGGCTCTGTAATGGACTGGTGTGTTCCCTCAGCCAGGCAACTTTGATACTAAACCTAAACTATGAAACATTTAGTTCAGGTGGGTAGCTGCGTCAGCATGTGTAGGCTGCAAAGGAACAAGTAATAGGTTCATTCCATGCTGAAAAGAGAAGAAAGAAAACACAATGTTTCAGCCGTGGATCCTTCTTCTGGTCTGATACATTTAGCCTTTATGTCACATAAATTAATATTTGGCTGAACTACTGAAAAGTATATTGGTTTATTATTATAATTATTGGAAATAATTTCCTTGTGAAATATGGATATAATAAAAAAAACAAGATCAATTATTCAACACAAGGCAACCTTGTGTTTTTTTAAGGAACATAAGGTATGACTAATAATGTTCCTGAAAGTCAAGGGACACAGGGGCCTTACCTCGGAAACAAATCAAATGTCAGAAATAAAATACATTTTACTAACGAAACACCTTTAATAATTTGAAATAATGTTGTTTAAAGGCTGTTCTGTTTTTCATTGCTCTTAAGACAATTTTCATTTTTCTAAACAAGAATGGTGCCCAGCAAGTTTCCAAGCAGAATATTCTCTATTATAGAAATCCCAAAGACCCTATAAAAACTGCTTGAAACAACTTGTTGCTTTCTTAATTTTGTTCCTGATGTTACCATTCATCTTAATTCCTGTATAGACTCTGTGTTATGGACTCTGTGTATGGACCTAAATAGTCAATTGCTCCATCATGCAAAGAATCATGAGTGTTAACATGCAGCAATTTTCTTAAGGGGATGAAATGGAGGAAGATTATGAAAGTGTGCACTATGAGATGTTACGCAGAGACAATTCGTATAATGGTAAGTTGGATATTATAAATAAACAGGAACTAAAGGCAGCACATGGAGTTTAAAATAGTGAGATTGCAATAATAATAAAGCCATGAAGATCTAGCTTTGCTTTCACCTCATTCCTCTTTTCCCTTGCAGTATTATATTGTACATATTGTTGAGTGTTTTTAATTTTCCAAGAAACTGCAGAACACTTTAGTAAGAAATACGATCTCCTAACAATCATGTCTCATGTGGTAGATGCAGGAGTAGGTCTAGCATCAACATTTGAGTAAGAATGCTTAGACAAATGTCAGTTCTCAACCCACAATTTCCTATGACTGTACCTTACTTTTGTGTTTCCGTCTCATTGTTATTATCTGCGCTGTGCTTTTGAAAATGTTCTGTGGTATTTTTAGCTTTCAAGATATACCAAAGCCAATTGGAAAAAAATGTTTTATTTGTCTTGATAGATGTTTACAGCGACTGTAACCAGAGCTTTGGGATACGCTAGAGGTGGCAGAAGAGAGAGCCCCAATAGTGTGGATCTGCTGTACACGATGCCAGCTTACAATGTATTTTAACTGTTATCATTCATGACAGCTAGCTTGATTGGGCTGTGACGAAACATCATAGTTTGATTAGTTTGTTTTATTCTGGATGCATTCTAAGTTGCCATGGATAAGGACATCTGTTAAGAAATTATTTTTAAAAATCTCATTTACTGTTAAACATGTCATTTGAAACACATTTGTTCAAAAGGGAAATATAATGAATTAGTTCTTTTTCAGAAGAATACTTACAGTATGTCCTTATGAATGGAGAAGCAAAGTACATTTCCTTGAGAGGTTCATTCCAAAATCATATTAAAAAAATATGTATATTTTAATCTTACACTTGGACATGCAGTAGCATGTAGCTCTTTCTAATCTCTTTTCAATAGTCCTATAAAAACAGAAAGTTTGTAAACAGAAGAAGATCAAATGTATGGAAAGCTTCCCAAAACATCAATTGAACACATGAGTTTGGGGGTTTTTGTGGAGATACTATACTTGCAATAGGACATACCATGTCCAATCCAAAAAAAAGGACAACAAAACAACTTAACTTTATCTTTTAGTATTTTAACAAATGCGGCTGCTCCAGAATAAAAGAGAACTGCTCAACAAGTAGTGAGTCAGTACTGAAAACAATATGCGTTTGGTTTTACTATGTTTCAGGTAACTTAAAGCTTTGTCCTATAATGTACATGTATCACGCGTCTGAAAGTACAGTGTGTGGTCACTTATTGTACCTGCTGATGCAAAAACGTTACCATTCAATAGTGTATTTTCAAGCAGTTTATTGTTCAAACAAGCACAGGGCATAGGATCCCTTCTGCACTTTGAATATGTATTCTTACAATAAAAAAAAATTACAATCAAATCCATACATGTTCTACTGTTGTGCTAATATGTTGCAGAATTTTTACCGGTAGTATAAACAGCAAAACCACATAAATTAAGACAGAAATCATAGTGATAGCATCTCATATAATTCTCCTTAATCAGGAATTCAATAAACATGTTTATACATGCCAGAATGCAGTCATTACCATTCTTTTTACCTGTATATTAATAAGGAGACCTGAGTTAATTTGCTTTATAATACACTTTTTCAGGGAAAAACAATTCATTGTAGAATTAAAAGTTCCCCAGAACATTGGCAATTATCTATCAACACATTCAGGGGATGTGAATAGGGTCATCAGAAAATACTTCAGACAAAGAAGGGAAAAAAAAGCACATGCACCAACATACACTATTCAAAAATATGCCATTTTAGTCTAAATTTGTATTCCTTCTCATAAGTGTCCTTACTGTAGTTTGTCAACTACACATTACAATTGTCACCTTTGCCAGAATGGTCATGGTGCTGATATATGGATTGAGAAACAAAGGCAAACGTTAGGCCTTGACTTAAGAGTTGCTCATGAATTGATATATTGAAATAAACCCTACTAGGGTTGTCCACTAACCTCGGTTGAAATAGATCCCCACTTTACTCTAATGATTATTTGTATTGCAATGGTCAGTTGTATACCTATTTAATGCCAGATATAATTTTCACAAAAAGGTAAACAAATTCTGGGTTGGGAGACGTTCTTGTCCTTCAGTAAACGTCAAGAAAAGTGTCGAAGCACAACAGCAATACAGAGATTCAGATGAATTATGTTTTAGTGTAAACACTTTCTATAACCTTTACTATGCAAAAATAAAGAGTATTTTTCATATCCACTGATTTGACAGATTATTAATTATATATAGATTTTATGTGGGGAATGGAGTTGCATTAAGCAGTCTCTTATATTCCACACTTCACCTAAAGTCATCCCGCTCATCAGTGATGATTTATACACCTGTTTCTTTCTCATGTTAACTCACCTTTAAAGTATCATTTTGTATTTTTTTTTCATACTTAGCATTTGGAGCCACTGAAGGAGAAGTATGGAATGTGAAAAAACAGCACCTTGATTTTTTTTTCATATTAAAATTGCACCTGAAATGTGCCCTGTAAAGATATGTAAATCGTTTTAGAGACAATAAAACTGACAGTCCCATTAAAAGCAGGCAAAATGAGTCCCTGTGCTCGGTGCATTTCCTGTGGATGAGGCTATCACCTGTAGGAGGATTAAAATCCCATTCTGTTCTGGACTTTTCCGACTTTAAAGACAAAGGCAGGACATGTCTGTCTCTGCTCTCTCTCTGTTCTCCACAGCGGCTAGGGCATAGGTACTGCTGACTGCTTGTTTCTCAAGGTCTCAAAGAAGGCCAGCACCCCCTTCTTCATGCTAGAGGCCCCAAACTTTGGTGGGGAGTTCCCACGGCGACGGGGGGCAAAGGACGAACTGTCCATGGAGGTGGCACGCTTCACCTTGGTGCTGGCTCGAGACATTTTTGATTTCAAAGGTGGGGTCTGAGCCACCAAACATTTCTGATATTGAACCTGCAGAAGAAGAAAACCACTGTTAGGACAGCAATATAGACAACAGATGTATTTATTAACATAACTAATATGAAAAGTATATGAAAACTAATATGAAAACGCTGTTTGATCCTCTTTGTGTGTGTGTAAAGTAATTACTGTACATGTTCAATTTAATTAGTTAAGACATTCTATAATTATATTATCTTTATTAGTTATTTTATCTATGCATCAGATATCTATCCCTATCTATGCATCTGATCATTTCAAGCAACACATTAAGTCCAATACTGTGCATATCACCCCTTAGTTACTATCATGTCTTCGCAAACCCCATTACATTCCTAAACCCACTGTTTCACGCTCACATTCCTAACTCAACCCATCATATTCTCACAGCCACCAGATACCACAGATCACTCCTGAACCAATTATTCAACCACGTTCCTCTCCCTTCAGTATTTAAAGTTCCCTCACGCGCCAAACCTTGCTCACTATTGAAAAGCCTCTTAGTGTTTTCCAGTGCAAGTTATTTTCTTGTTGGCTTTTTCGGTTTTTGGACTTAACTTTTCCCTTTTGATCTCGTCTTTTGGATTTTGCCTTTGGATTGTCTTCTCCGTTTGTCTCAGCTCTTTCTGGTTAACTGAGCTCTAGCTTCGCCTATCGACCTTGCTTCTGGATTATGATTTTGGATTGTTTGCCTCTGCATCCCGCAGAGTTCACGGCTACGCACAGGATCCTCGGAGAACTACCTGCCGCATCCCTGATCTGCTATCTATACGGGTATAGTAGATCTGAGTGATCCATAAATGATCACTATGAGTAACATCAGTTGTTTTAGAATTCAGCAATTAATGTCACCACATTCAGACAAGGACATGAGGGATAAGGATGACAGCAAGGACAAGAACGAGAACAGGGTGGCATGGTGGCACAGTGGTTAGCATTAATAATTGCTAATTGCTCATTTGTATATTCTCCCCATGTTCGTGTGGGTTTTCTCTGGGTGCTCTGGTTTCCTCCCCCAGTCCGAAGACATGCTGGTAGGTTAATTGGCTTCTGTAAAACTGATCCTGGTGTGAGTGTGTTTGTGTCTGTCTGCCCTGTGATACACTGGCGTCCCTTCCAGGGTGTATCCCAGCCTGTGCCCATAACTACCCTACCTGTAAGAAAATGGATGGATGGATAATACTTATCTCACACAGATCAATGGTAGAAAACACTTGAAATACAGTAAAGACTGAGAATTGAGAGCTTTAATAAGAACTATTTCATGTTTTCGCTAACTACTCATGATCTTTGTGGGCAGAAAAGGAACATTTGTTATGGTACAGTATGAAGGTCAAACACTTTATTTCCTAAACATGACCCAACACTGCTGGAAGCTGAATGAGTGGCTGCTCGTTCTTTGCGCTATAGAGACTTATCTCTTGTTCGGTCCTAGCAGTCCTCACCATGCAAGCCGCCTGCACTGCTTCGGACACGCTTCCAGCATCAGGCTCGCACCAGAACACGTGACACTCGAAACGCTGGCGCCCTGCATCCATGATGACTGCAAATGTGTGAGTGTCGTGCCCCACACCAAGGAAGGTCAAATACCTCACCTGGCATTCCCAAAACGGGTCGTCACCGTCCTGACAGGGAAAGTGGAAAAAGTTACAACCCAGAGCCTTTCTTGAGATCTATTTTATATGAAACTCACCACAAAGGAAGTTAAATTGTGCGTCACAACTGTATCAGAGGATAGAAGAAATTCTGTGGTCTATCATACACAATTGCATCTCTGACCAAAATGTTGCAAAACTACATGGAATATGAATACTATATTTTCAATTTTTTAGGGATATTCTTTAAATTGTGATTTATCATCATCTGAAATGTGTTTATTAATTTAAAAAATTATGAAAGTGTTACTGTAACAACTACATGCAGAAAAACACAACAAAAACTATTTAATTAGTTTTTCACAGCTTGACATAATTCACCTCTCCTTTCCACAGTGACAAAAGAGTGTCAGACACATGGATGGTAATGGGCTCCCATTCATCTCTGTCAACTGAATTTGTGACATTTTCAATTGCTCTGTTCAGCACTTCCATCCCTGCAAATGAACATACATGCACATGAACACCTGCCTTCACTGATCACACAAAAACTATTTAATGATAACCTTGAAAGTTTTAATTCAAAAGCATTGAAACCTGTGGAGGAATTATTCTAAGTTCACCTGGACAATCTAGCAAGATAAAGAAGTTGCTATTTAAAAAAACATCTGGAATAATTGTGGTTTGGGATGTTGGAAATAATGTCAAATTCAAATGTATGGAATAGCAGATCATCATCAAACTCGTGACACTTACCCATAGCTCTGGGGACAGGCTGGTGTCCAATGTACAGTACCTGAAATTTCTGTACACTCAGTCTCACTGCATCCAGGAAATCTACTGTGAAAATAGAAGAGAGCCATTTACAAATCTGCAACACCTCCAATGTCCACAAGAGGGACCTTTTTCAGAGCAGCCGTCTTTCAAAATGGTCCTTGGCATTTTCTTTGCTCCCAGCCTCCTCAGAAAAAGAAACAAATGTGTTTTTCCAAACCTAAAGGCACTTTTAATCGATTCATCAACTCATTAGTTCACACAGTAAATTAATGGAGAGTCATTTCCTTTTCTGAAGAACTTGTATTCTTAATTATTAAGAAATTTGCCTGTAAATTTAATGCTACAATTTCCAATCCGCAGTCAGATTTTCTGGTAGAATAACATAATGTTTGAAAGATTTCTGTTTTTTCAATATTTGTTTTCAGTTTTAAGTCAAGAATTACTGATTCAGTGATTATTTACAAAATATGTTTAAAATGGAAAATACACACATCTAGAAAATATTTAGCTAGTTCAATTTTAAATATTCTTAAACATTATTGAATATTAAAATAAACTATTAAACCAAATAAACGACAGAAACCAACTAACAGCTGAATTTAATTTCACTGGATTCATAGAAAGGGGTGATAAAAGGATGAAACAGAAAATGGAAATAACTTAGTGGAAACATTACCAGTCAAAAAGGAATCAGAGTTATGAATGTTATAAAGTCCAGATGGGAGAGGATGAACCCCATTGTGCACTTTAAAACATATTCAAAGCTTTGTAAAAAGTGAAACTGTTTGATGCACCTGTATAATTCCACGAGCATTCAAGCTCACATAAACCGAAAATGAGCGCTTTACACTGACCAAATACGTTTGGAGCAAACTGGCCTCGCATTAAAACCTTGTCACTGTAATAAGAGATTGTCATAAATCCTCTGTAATCTCATTAGCCTCTCCTCACTACTCCAAAATACACTGAGCCTTCTTAAGCCTGGAGTTTCATTACCTTGCAGTGGTAAGTCCTCTGGGGAGATACTTTCCATGGTGAGAGACCTGGTCATAGAGGGGTGCATCGATGCGCGTTCAGCCATGATCTAAGAAAAAGTACAGATTTTGAAAGCTAAAGACAGCTCCCTTTTTTGTAAATATTATTAAAATATAGACCATTAAAGTCAACCTCTAGTCTTTAAAAACTGTAGGATTTGGGGATTTTTTCACCTTAATGACTTAATTGAGTCAATTAAAGATTTAAAAAATATGGTCAATTTCAACAATAACTATTAAATTACCATGCTTCCTCAATGATTGTGCCATCAAAGGGTTGATTTTGGGGAATACATGTTGTATGAAACAATCTGGGCACATGTGTATACAGTATGGTCACATAATTTCACTGCTCTTTAACATATTTACCCAACTTTCAGCAAACAGCACCATGAACAAGTTTAGGAAGGACTGGGAAGCTCTGCAGAATAGATTCAAATGGGTCTTAAAGGTTAATTTTGCAGAGTACGATAATATTGCTTTCAGGAATTTGTGAGCTGCTTATAATAAACAGATTGTATTTACACTGAATGCAGCATGTAGAAGTATTCGACTCTATTTCAGCAATAATAGTCTTAATCTGTCATGCTCACGCCCACTGGAGCACTGTAGAGTAGACTAGCACTATCGTGGTAGCCAGCCATGCCTCTGCTCACCTATCACTTAACTTCGTTCCTAGTTTCCCGAATTCTGCCGTGTCTCACCCTGGATTCTTGACCCTCGCTCCCTCTGACCTTGACCCCTGGATTTTCCCTTGTGCTTACCTCGACCCTGACCATGGACTCCTCTTTGTGCCTTGCCTGTCTACGTGGTTCTGAATCTCGCCTGTTTGGACTGTGACCCTGGACTGTGATTTGCCTGTTTCCTCCGCCCTGCTGCAAACGCCTGGCTGTCTGCTTCCCCCACCTGCTTGTTCTCACCGGGCAATCCTGACCTGCCGCCTACATGTGAGCTCACCTTTCCAATCCCAGACCACTGCTTTATTCAATCGCAGGCAGCAGACATTGCATTGCCATTATAATAAGTACATTGAAAAAAGCAGGACAGATTTGTAGGTAATGCCAGGCCAATCAAATGTACACTGGAATCGCAAGGAAAGGACAAAATGAAACATGACTGAAATTTTTTTTCCAGTCATTCTTGGAGCTGGATGTTTTAGAGCTGGGAGTGTTTTCAAGTTACAGGGACTCCCCTCACTTCCGCAAAGCAGTTCAGACTGTGTTGTGATCACCTTGGAGCACATGTCATGGAGAGCTGTGGCAATAGCCTTGGCAGGAACATCGCAGCGAAACACATGGCACTTCAGCATGCAGGTGTCTTTGTCACTGGCTACAAAGGCAAAGTCTCTGAAGAGAAGAGACAGAGAACAACCATAAAGAGAACTTAGCAGGAGAGTTGCGAAATTGGAAAGCTGTGCGCGCCAACTCCCACCTTAAGATTGCCTTATATGCTTTGCTTGCATAAGTACCTGAGTTTTCACATTTCTACCACGGGTTTAATGTACGCATGGAACTGCTATAGTCTGACATCAGAAACTGAATTAAACTACTTTAAAGGTTCAAATGCCTTTCTTCAATCTGACAAGAATAAAAAATAAAAGATGAGTGTTGAACTGGGAACGGTTGTATGTCTGGGGGAGGGGGGGTATACTTGTACAAAGACTGGAGTATTAAATATTTTTTTCCACTCTTAATGTGTTCTGGGTTGTTCAATTCCTCTCCCAAGAATCATAAGCTCTGCTAGTTCATTTCTTCTGATTTTGATCTTACAAGATCACTCTGTTCACTCACTTAATGTTTTGTTCACGTTGAACTTGACCTCTTCACAGATGCACTTCATTCAAGGGAAATTTCATGCAAAATGTTGAAGAGATAAGAAAAACAGCTGCTGCATTGTGTCAATTTGTCAAACAATTATACCATCTAAGCAACCACTACGTTGACTGGCCCTGAATATACAGAGTCCTGGGAGGAACTGAGTTTAAAATACCTGATCGGTACCAGTATGGCAAGTAATTTACGTGCAGACCAGCCTGGAATGTTGTACTGATTACACAAGTAATCAAGGATCCACTGGAGAACTTCTCAAACACGCAAGTCACCCCCATTTGAGATTTGAAATTTACACACATACAAGAGTTATAACAGAATCATAGAGAGACAGTTTAACAAATTAGATTTAATTCTGTTTTATTTGAAGTGCCTTGTTATTAATAGAAATTAGGTGTTATAAAAGAATAATATCTATTTTCTGTTGACCTGAACCTCATCTTTCTGATGGTGTGAGTTGAGAACCTAGAACTAATGACCCATTGTGGTTATTTGCAACAGTTTTGCAGTAGATGAAGGTGAAATATCCAGCTACAGGACACTTTATAATTTAATTAACAGACTCACATAACAAAATGTTTATTAGTAGATAAGAACTACTGATAATCTTTAAATTAAGACCCAAGAAGTTTAACAAATATAATCACCTAAGAAGTCAGTTAGGATTTTAAGCAGGATGTCTTTATTCAAAGCTGAAACAATACACTATATTAATAATGTTGTTCTTCATGCAGTTCAAGCTTGGTGTCCTGTATGTGTTATTTCAACACTTTAATGTGCTGACAGTAAGAGAATTGCAGTTCCCACAGCTTTTCAATTATTCAGGGCAAACACTAGGATCAAAGAGAAAGATAAATTATTTTTCTTTGGGTAGCAATGGCAGAATTCTAATTTCCATTTCATTATTTACATATTAATATTCACTTTCATAGATAATCTGCATGTAGCATGTGGAGTGACATTCTATACTTGGGTCAATCTAATTGATCTAAACACCAGAAATTCAAGTCAAAACGTACCCCCAAATGTGTAAAGTAGCTCAGTGTGGGGCACACAGGAAGATAATTATCACATGGTTTCTTGTTCTGTTTCAGAATTAAAACTTTAGTAACAGTTATTGCCTAAAACATATGTGTGGCAAGTTCTAAAATATTTTTCAACATAAGCAATTGTTGTATTAATTTTAGCAGTTCAAGAAGTAGTGCTGGGGAAAAAATAATAGGGTTAAAAATTATAGAAAGGCACTCTTTTCTTACTTTGGTAGCATTACAGTGAGTACTGGATAATGCACTGTTTTTGTTTTCAGCCTACATAAAAACATACGTTAATCCATTAAATCTAAAAGAAGCTTGCTTAACTGCAGATTAAAATTAATTGAATCATTTTCATTTCAGTGAGCTCTCCATAAACCTAAAAACATTTTCACTTCCTTTTCCTATAAATGACCTGAGGTCACACAACCATTTAATTAAAACTGTTATCATATTTTAAAACTACTGTACATCTCAGACATTTATTGATTTACTTGTTATCTTAATTATGTGGCAGAAAGTTGTTGTTTTTTATAAGGGCACATTATCATACAGCAGTGGTTATGTGGTATGTGGTATAGAAAAAATATTGAACTCTTTAAGCACATTAATCTTTAATCTTTTCTCTAATGTCTGACAGCCAAAGAGCAGCTAATTGACTCATGCAGGTTAGGTTTTTATTTCCTATTTCTTTTTTTTAATAAATGTACTATTTGTAGTTCAAAGGAATGGAGGGTGTTTTATTAAAAATGTCTCATCAATGCATGAAATGGATTCATTTAAGTATGTCCTGTTCATAATCTCAAATGTGTAAGGGAATATGTTTCCATAAGAATCTATGAGTTGTCTTAGTATGAAAATGATACTATACTGTACATGTACTAATGAAATGTAGAAAAGCAATATAACTTCTTAATGAATGATAATATATAAGCTTTGTGCCCTTTAGGCATTATTGAAAAGATTAGTACCATGCAAACTATTGCTACATTAATAACCTTGTAAACCAAAAGAGTAGTTACCTGTCTCTGTTTCGAGGGTAGCAATCAAAAATGGAAGAAAAAACATTGTTAAAAATGACACCACTCTGGTGGCAAGTTTGGCATTCAATGAGAAACACTAAACCTGTCATCTAATGGCTTGGCTTGTCTTATATGCATTCCTTAGAAGAGTAAGGCAGTGGGAATCACTGTAAATTACAGGAAATGTGTGCACATAACACAAAGCTCTTCATGGGACTGTGTAGTTCCTTAAGAATGATGCAAAGTATTTAGAATGCACATGCGTAAAGGGCATAATGTTGTAAAATAAACCACTGTGTTAGCATGCTACTAAAACCATGGAAGTATTGTACTGCATTAGAGCTTTCCCTGTAATGCATGTTACCTATAAGGGAAGGTTTAGGAGTGAGAGGATAACTGCAAACCCCTTATAGTTAATATTTTATTGCTGTGCTAAAATTGATAGCAACAGACAGAAACCCCATCTCAAAACAACAATGTATCCATAAATTAAACACATTAACTTAATGCTGATGAGCCACAGGAAATTCTAATTCATTTGACTTACAGTACAATAGTTTGTCAGAATTAATTCCCCTAGTAGTCATTTTTTTATCTTGTTAGCTGAGAAAACTTGTCTCTTCTTATCTTTATACAACCCAGTGGGAAAAACAAAAAAATATAGTTCCTAAAATTTATTTTAAAATGAAATGTACAGATTATCTTCAACCCAGTTTGCACCAGTGTGTAAGTACAAGGTAGAAATGAAGATTATATCAAAATATCCTAAGGCCATTGCATGCAGATATTTAACAGTTCTGTTCCATTTAATTTTCTTGGCATAATTTGCTATGTAAGTTCCAGTGGTCATAGTATGTGGCTGCATCAAATTAGACACCAGGGTCGCTTGCTGGTTATTCCTCAGGAGTATTCAGCAACAGTGCCAAAAAGAGTTCTCCACAGATGACAGTAGGAATTCTAATTTTCAGATCACGTCCTCTGCAAGCTTCAGTACTTAAACATACTGTACTGTTACCTCCTAGGTTGTCTGAAGAAAATCTCCCGGTACACTAATCTAAAGACTTTCCATTCTTAACTGAGGTTCTTTGCTGTGTATTAGTGAAGAGAATAACAAGGGGGACATTATATATCCTGTCATCACTCAGGTCTGTGCAATCAAGAATAGGCTGCCCTAGAATAAAACAGTTTAAGCTTACAATATAAATTTTTAACTGTGATTCATGCAAGGACCAAGACAAAAATTGGAGGCTTCAGCTGCCAACATTACACTGGCCAAAGGCTGTAAAATTCACAATGCTGGTATTATAAAATTCCTAACCACCCATGAATTAGCTTGGATTATCACACAAAACGTATCACCAATTCATCCAGCTCACCAATTTTTAACCTATCAATATTTCCACTATACACCAGAACCCTCTAACTTTAGGATTAATCAGTTAGCTTTACTATTCTGGTAAAGATACCTGATGTGCTTGAGATCTCCTTTTCATGTCATCAATGAAGTCTTACCTGCCATTGTTACAGCCTACCCCCCATACTCGGATATTAATAATGGGTTGACAGTGGATCAGGCTGTGGTCTACTGGGTCAACCAGACTAAGAGTGTCCTTCTTCAGAATCATTACCATGTCCTGGCCCTGTGGGTTGAAAACCGTAGTCAAGTAATGCAATGTACAAGTTATAGCCCACATAGAGCACATAGATACAGTATTTTCTTATTTTCGGCAGTGGCAGTTATCCATTGAGATTCCTATAAACAACTTATTAATTCACATCCGCTCTGGACTTCACTGTCTCCCAAGGTGTTTCTTATGCTTTATGGCACGCCAACAGTCTATTTCTATAATTCGAAAAGCTTTCTAAATTACCTCATTGGAAACGTCAAAGAAGTGAGTACATAAAAGACCTACCAAACCTGAGCTGAAGTCAATTAGCACATGAGACATTATCAGGGTACAAGTCCAGTACATTGAGTTCATTTGATGACTGCTAGGTCTGGACAACTAATAATCAAAAAAGTAATTGGGAATAAAGGCCCTGTACAATTAACCCCTATAGCAATTTCCTAGCCAGATAGATTACTGCCTTCCAGAAAATAAAATAAAAATCACGAAAAAAAATCTGCAAGGCTACATTTAAAAGTAGTAGTTCAGGTGGTTAGTTGCGTTAGCATGTGTAGGCTGCAAAGGAACAAGTAATAGGTTTATTCCATGCTGAAAAAAAGAAGAGAGAAAACACAACGTTTCGGCCGTGGAGCATTCTCAAGGTGTCAACCTGAAGAAAGCTCCATGGCCAAAACATTGTGTTTTCTCTCTTCTTTTTTTTTCAGCATGGAATAAACCTATTACTTTTTCATTTAAAAGTAGTATTTGTGGGGCACAGTGCTATTAATTCCAATGTTACTGAAGCAGCCTTTTATGTTGCCATTGCCTTCTGGACATACATTTGTCACTGATTCGTCAGCTGATTACAGATTGTAATTGGTATCAGACTGCAGGTTTTGTGGTTTCTGTCTTTCCTATTCACTATTGCATGTCTACACTGACCCAGTATTAATATGGCCATAACTAAAAGCCAGATTGCTCTTAAAATGTCTGTATCAAGTTTTGGTTAAATAAAAAAAAAATTAAAGTGTATAGACAGAAGGAAAACCTCTTACTGGTACTCTGCATATTTTGAATATTTACATTGAATATGTACATTGAATATTTACATTAGTGGAGTATTTTAAATAAGTAAGTTTTAATATGTTTGAAACCCAAGTTCTTTCTGCATCAAGTAACACTTGTGTATTAAAGTCAATTTTACCAAATGTTTCAAATATATCTAATAGATGGGGATGGTGCAATCAGTCTTTACTAAGCTCTAATGCACTGAACTACAAAAGAAAGAGAAAATGAAAAAAGCACAAGAATGACGTAATCCTTGACATTTTAGACACAAAATCTGAAAAACAAAAACAGTGGTAAAAATATATTCAACACAGTTAGACATTTCCTTCTCAGCTTGATGTGCACTAGGCCAGTGACTGAAAGGCGCTTCTTTCTCAATGCTATACTCACCTCCCCCCAGGCTCCTACAGCATCCCGGCCCTCACACTTACTGTGAGACAGCTGCTGAATGCAGTTATTGACAGCTATGCTGCTCTTGCCTGGAGCTAGGTCCTCCTCAGGGATCTCCACCCAGCCTAGTGAGCGCACAGCGAAGCACTATTGGGAACAGAGACAGGATCATGTTGATCAACAAAGACCAAAGAACCAGGATCCCAGGGAACAAACTTGATCCACCTCATACATATTGTTGATAGGAGCACAAATATTCTCTTAGACTGTTTGTTTATTTTGGTTTCATCTGTACCTAACTGTTTTTTTAGGAAGTCACTGTCTACATTTTCTACAGGAAGTAATTGAACATCAGTAGAGCTGTCAAAACTTTCATTCATGTCAAAGATGTACAAATTTGTGAATAAAGAGTGATCACTACCGTGTATGTAAATGACAATTCCCAAATTGGAAATAAAATATCACAGACTTTTCCTCAGCCCTGAACTAACTATACTTCTTAGCAAAATAAAACTTGATTTTTTAATTAGGCTGTGGTTGTATTGTCTTTGCACTGTAAATAATGCAGAAAGTACCAGTGCAGTACATCTTTGTCAGTTCAACTGTGTTGTTTGTATTCAGCGGAGAGGAGTTTACAGTATGTTTCAGTTTTTATTTGTTTATTATAAAAATATACAATCTAGTTGCAAACAGATACAACACAATTGTTGCAATTAGTATATTGAATACGCTCACCTGACATGTAGAGACAAAGGTAATTCAAATCAAAACTAAATATATATTTGTCTTTTAATACTGTATGATGAGTTTTACTTGCCAATGAGTGTCCTCCGTGGACACAAAGAATACAAGTTTGTTGTGTGAGCTGTACCATTTATACACAGATGAGGCATCTCAGACAACAGACCTTGTTAGTTCATTACAGGTCTTGTGAACATAAAAGTATTGAATTATACCTGTACCTTAGAGTCAGGGTCACTATTGGTTTGGAAATAATCTTCCTCTTGCCAAGGAAGTGAGCTCCTGCAAAACAAACAGGGCCAATTTTACCAATGTTTATAGGTTAAGGGGGCTAAATCTCTTCTATACAGCAGCCTAGGGAACTATCTTATTCTCTGTAGCACAACAAGGATATTGCTCACAAATGGAACCTAAAATCAAATTTATTTAAGATGGAGCAGAGGAAACATTTCTTTCACAAACCATTATGAATTCCTGGAATTGGCTTCCTAGGTAGGAGGTAACTCTTTTTCTAGTTACTGGCAACACTTAGCTACTAAACTACCAAAATGAGTGAAAGAGAGAGTCTTCTCTTTGTATGTTCTAAGGGTCATAACATTTAGTCATTTTCTTTTCTGTGAACAGGAGTGTGACGGTTGTTTTAATTAGTTGTTTATCTGCTGGGTAATTTTATATGTACATGTGTATTTTTCATAGGGTTGCAAGATATTTGTTTTTTTTTTCTCTACAGGAGACAGCTGTGCTTTGGGTGACCTTGTGTGAGAGAAGTTTCAATATCACTGAGGTTTGAATGCAGTGTTTCCTTTTTTGTCTGGCTCACTGACACAATTTGTTGTGCTATTTATAAAACACAAAGATACATTGCTGAGACAGACTTTTCTTAACCTTCTTCCAGCTGCAGGGCTGCTCTGGCAGCTCGTAATGCTGTGGCACAGCTCCAAGATTTGATTCCAGCCTCAGGTGTCTGTCTGTGGAGAGTCTGCATGTTCCCCACCATGTTCATATGGGTTCTTTTCCATTTGCTCTGGCTCCTTCTACTTTCTAAAGACATGATGGCTAGATCTGTTTACTCTACATTTCTCACTGTTCGTTTCACAGTAGCCTTATAACTGACTGGTATCCCATTCAGGCAGAGTGCATTTGCGCTCTCAGTCCTGTCTTGTGACCTCAGCTTGTGGTGTAGACTCCATCTTGCAATGACCCACACCAAGATAAGCAGTATATTTATATTGACTGGGTGAATGATTCAGACTATGAAATCGTAAATTCACACAACACTTTAAAAGCATGTTCTGCCAGCCTTACCTAAATGTTTTCAAAACTAGTCTTGACCTGCAGTAAATGGGTTTCTGCACACTCTCAGAAGAATATGTAAGGCATAGAGGCACAGACTTTCCCTTTCAAAGCCAATGATAATCTGAATATTAGGTATCAGACAGAGATTTTGTTTAAATGTAAGAAAAAGGTGTTCTGTTGGGTTTCATATTACTATACATTACAATGCTTTTGCTTTTATAAAGGCTGTGCTGAATAAACCTGTCTAATGTATTGTATATTTTACACCTTTCGATACAATCTTAACAATCTAATATCAAAAGAACAGTTAAAATGTGCTCTCTTTCAGCAGGAATAATAATGAAAATTGCATGATAAGCATTCCTTTCCTCAGTGGAGACATTTCTGATATGATTTGTATTCTTTTGTCTTAGAAAATCATAAGAAAAGGTTTCTGCCACACTTGCGCTTTGAAAAGAAAGAAGCATCTCAAAGGTCTCAGATCTGTTTTATTCCCATCAAGGGGAATTATTTATAACATTGCTCAGGAGTTTGTCTGGTGCACCTGATTATTCATATTACAGTACCCCTGCAAAGCAGGATTCTGTCATAAGGATCTGCTATGAATATAAGGTGGTTGGATTTTTGCTGCCAATACCAGGAGTGCTAGTTCTAAATATATTCTGTCAAATAGCAGTTTAGGAATATATAAGCTTAAAACCCCAGACAACATATGTTTTTTATACTTTTAGAATTTTTCATAATAAACATATCACATTGAAATAAAGAACATTTTTTTCAGTGTGGCAAATTTGCTGTCAATACTGAAAAATGCAAGAGCATTGCCCATTGAGCCAATACATACCCTCTTGAATTCCTTGTGTCTACAGATGGACTGATTTTCCTTTTGCTCAGTTTCACAGGGAAATTGATTTCTTTATTCATTGAATGGATTTTATTTGTTACACTATTTTAGTCACAATCGCAAAAGTGACAAAGATATTTTCCCATAGGATATTGCAGAACTTGGAAATATTCAACATGTCTCTTCTAGGTAAGCCTTCTGTAGCAGAGGTACTGTACTGATATGATTAGATCTGGAAAGATCAGAGATGAATACATCAAAGGTGTGTCAAAAGAAAAAAAGGAGAGAGGAAGGAAGCCAAACCAAGCTTCTCAAAGACTTCAAAAGCCTGATTTTCCACAAAGTGAAGGACACAGCCAGTTAATGGACATGTTGCATGTCCAAATCACTCTACAAGATTAAAAAAATGATCCCAGATTTACTGAATTTTTTTTATCACTCACAGGGGATGCACACAGCAACAAGGATACAGATGTGCTTCTCTCATTTATAACTACAGTACTTCCTTATGGGGGCAAAAAGAGGGGAAACTCATTGAGAAATGTATTATATTTGACATTGATAATGCAGCAAAAAAGGAGTCACATTTGCTGTAAATGTATATGGTTGACTAATTGGAACCAATAAGTTCATTACCTGCACAAAGCTGTAAAAAAACAACTAAGTATGTTACTTTTTTTAGTGAAGGGACAAGAATACAGTGTAGACATAAAGCAGACCAGAATAATACTTATCCCACAATGGAAAGCTAAATTTCCAGAATAGTATTGGCCAAACTAAAATCCATCCTTCCAAATAAAATAGCTCAGCAACATTTGTCCAAAATTCTAATTCAAAAACAAAGAAAATAGTTTGATGCCAACAAGTACATCATAAACAATTACTGTATATATAAGTCATACCCTGCAGATAAATAACTTTATATGCAAGGCAATAGCAATCACAAAAAACAATTTGTTTATAATAATATATGTCTGTTAAAAATACCTTTCATTTTCTTCTGACACTGAATGATGGCTGCAAATACAGTATCTATCCCCTATTAATTTCATACGTTAATTGTGTTCCCATGGAAATGACAACTATTAACACATAAGCAAGCACTATTTCTAAAGGGGAAAAAAGTCAACAGAGGGTTCTATATACAGTGTATCTGCAGCCTACAGGCAGTTATTGGTCACAAGGTCAGCAAGGAGCAACCAGAGCAAGGAGAGCAATAGAGTAGCGTTGTTTTTGCAGACACTGTCTACTTAAGCACTTCACGGCACTCACTGAAGCATAAAAGCAATTACTGTAAAAAATAAAATGGACCCTAACCATGGAATATTTGGGATGGCATACATTATTCATTGCCTTTGTAATAAAAACGATAACAATAACTTTCTTCTTTAATTAACTTTTTGGGCAGAACTATTCTGCTGTTGAGTTAATAACATAACTAATGAAACTCTGTAAGACAAATGACAGCAGATTTCATCTAGAATCCGTAGAAACCTGAAGGTTAGTAATCTTTCAATCTGATTTGTAAAAGTAAATGGCGACCACAAAGGAAAGTAATTCTAACCATATTGCTTAACTTAGAGTTTTATACACACTGTCTCCACGACAAGTCAAGTGATGGCACTTCAGATTAAAAAAAACACATACTGAAAATCTCCACAGGGACTGGTAAGTGCATACAGTACCTAAACTTTTGACCTAATTCACCCTCAGATGTGCATGAGGCATGAGAGGAAAATTGAGTTTAGACCAAGCAGGCTGCCTGCCTCTTAACAGACTAAAACTGGTACCTGTTGGTTATGGAGGCCATGGGGCTCTCAATCTGTCTTCCTCTAGATTGTCTTGATCCATCAGGATGGAATCCCTGGAGGAAAATGAGAAAATCATCTCACCTTAACATCAGAGAACCCTAAATAACACTTGAGGCTGGTATTGAAAGTGTGGAGGCACACACTGTTTCTAAGGGAATACAATAATCTCTGTATCATCGTTTAAAAAAAGACAAATGACCTAGAATGTGAATATGTCAAAATCCATTCCCACATCATCTTAGCTTTTTCAATAAGTGTCTGGATGTCAACTTTGCATCACTGAGATGAAAAAGAAAACTCAGCTAACACAGCTCCTATCCTGAGAAAAGCCATGTGTTCACTTGCCTCATATCCTGTGGTTGCAAATCCACTGACTGCAGTCTGGTCTCCATCAGAGCTGCAGGATGGGTGATGCCATTGAGTGGTGCCAGTTGGCACGTGCCAGTAATAGGTGCCAGTACTGTCCCTGATTGTCCTCCAGCCTGGTGGGAGATCCGAGTCCGGCTCCAAATTCTGGTCATTCCAAATGTTATCTGGGCAGAAGAGGAGATCATTTGGACAAGTTTTTTTCTCAAGTGGACTAATTTTTGACAAACCTTATTCAGGTCCTGAATGAAAAAAAAAGTCTTAAAGATACAGACTATATTAGATCCATTTCATTGTTTTAAGCCGTTTTAGTTTTGACGGGGACACTATACTGTAAAAAGGCGGCATCCTTCAGATGAGATGTAAAACTGAGGTCCTGACTCTCTGTGGTCATTAAAACTCCCCAGGTGTTTTTGAAAAAACTAGGGTTGAAAGCCTGGTGTCCTGGCCAAATTTCCCATTGGCCTTTATTTATCATGGACTCCTAATAATCCCCATCTATGAACTGGCGTTATCACTCTGTTCTTCTCCCCCTAATGGCTGATGTGTGGTGAGCATTCTGGCACACTATGGCTGCTGTCGCATCATCCAGGTTGGGCTGCACATTGGTGGTGGTGGAGGGGAATCCCCATTACATGTAAAGCGCTTTGAGTGGAGTGTTCAAGAAGCACTATATAAGTCTAAGCAATTATTATTATTATTATTATTATTATTATTATTATTATTATTATTACACATACTAAAAACCTTTCAAAATACCACAATAAACATGATGCTGTCAATTCAAGGTTTTTGTAATCATTTGTTTTTATGAACCGCTTCCCTCATGGAATGTATCCTAGTGAATTGGGGGGGGGAGGGCAATAGAAAATGATACATAGTGGTTTTGTTAGTTTGTGCTCAACTAACTGTAGACGGCTTTTTCAGTTTTAAATTAATTCCACACATATCAATGGTTAATTATGCTGGGGAAATAAAATGACAAACCGTCAAGTTCCTTTAAAGATGCTTGTGTTGTTCTTTTGCTCAATTTAGTAAAGGCTGCTCATCTGAAGTGCTTAACCAGAGTGCCAACATTGCAAATTCTATGAAATACACTGCTTTTAGTTTTCTTAAAGGAAAATTAAACTGGGACATGTGACATGTGACTGCACTTGCATGGGTAGTAAGATAGCGTAGTTTTGCTGGATTGGCATGATAGTGGCCAGGCTTTAGGTTATTGTTATATACTGTACACTAAGTTGTCATATACAGTGTGAATATGTGATAATGATTTCTAGATGCTAAAGTATTGAAAATAATTTATATATTTTTATTTTAAGAGCGTTTATTTAAAACAAAACAGAAAGGGTTTACCTCACCAAGCATCAAGTATATAGTTAAGTCAGCATGTGAGCCAGATACATGGACAAAAAACTACATTTCCCAATGACCCACACACATAACAACACCATTTAACACATACTGTACAATATTAGTTAGATAAAGCAAAGTAACCTCAAAATGAGTAAGAGGAAAGTTACTTTTAGTTAAGGAGTTAAGGAATTCCATGAAATAATATCTACAGATATGCATACGTTAACTATTACTGTCTTTCTTGTAGATTATCTTCATGTATATGCAATTATTTACACCACTGTTTTGCTAATATCAATAAAATGCTATTAAAATGTTTCATGCAGTGGATACCTCAACAATGTAATGGTAAATTGCAACATTAACAGTTACAGTTGTTTTGATTAGTGTATAGGCAGGCAATGAAATTCCTTGTTTTCTGAGAATTTCAGTGAAACCAGGCACATTTAAAACTCAAAATGTCCAATCCAGGCTCCATTCGTGGCATGTAATCATCTTTTCAGAACATAAAATACTATAGACTTTATGGTACACTTTAAAACGGTAGCTAGGCTATTTTATATGTTTATATTTGTATATGTTTATATGTTATACTTTCAAGAAATATGATTAGTAGACTTAAAACATATCAGATTCAATTAAGCTACATCTAACACAACAGATGTTTTGAGCTGTGAAGTGCTGAAAGCAGGATGCTGAACTAGACTGTGGAGTACTGCAGAGTGCTTTCCATAAACACTCTTTGTCCTATTTCTGATTGATTTCAGTATTCCTACCACAAACACATATATTTAAGATTTGTAACACACTGCAGGCTATCATTTTAAGCGATTAATATCACTTCAGGTAATACCATAGCGCTTTGTAGCTGTTGAAAAAGCAAGCATTTAATGACATTTGTGAAAAATAGCACAAATGGGTGAAAATTTGCTCCATCAATCTACAGCATGAAATGGATTCGCAAATACTCTTTGTGTTTACTGTATGGATCATGAAACTGATTTTCTATTCTTTGCAGCACTCCAATAAATTTAATTTGAAAAAATGATACATTTTTATTTATTGGATTGGAGATTGTTCTGCACAAAAGTCAAACAGATATTAAAAAAAGATAGAGCTCTGTATAGACCATTACATCTTGATTTACCCTGAAGCATAATAACAAGGCACAGTCTTCCCAAAAAATTAATGCAGTACCACAGGTAGCTAATCTTTTTTCCATTAAAAATAACTTATTTGTTTGATACATAGTTTTATTAATTATCAACATATTTTTCAGGTTTTTGTTTGCAGGTTTTTTATTTATATTCAATTCATTCCATTATTTTTTCCTTGCTTAACTTAATGATAATGAAAGTAGTTACTGTTATATACTATGAAAGGTATTTTGGCAAGAGAAGATTGCATTACATTTTTACTTTTTTTGCTCTGAAGATATTTTTATCAATTAATATCTAGTATGGCAAAACAGGGTGACTGTTATCCCTAATAAAATAAATGATAAGTACCTTTTTTCAGTAGTAAATTATATATGAAGAAGAAATACTTCCAATGTTGCTTGCATAATCATTTATCTAAATATTCCACCACAGACATCTCAGACAGAGGCTGATGGCTTCCTTTTTTAGCCTCTATTTAAAGATTATGCCATCTTTAAGCAGAGTACCACTTACAGAACAAATCATCATAAATTTCATTGACATATTAGGAAATAAAAAGTATTTCCCTTAAAACAAACTCTGCCGTATGTATTCTATTCCAATTTTATTTTAAGCAAATCCTACTTCCTGTGTGTATTTTAAAACTAATGCATGACTAATACAGGACACAGTCCAGTACTGGCATACTGTATATCAAATCACAAGATATCTGACCATTATCAGAAAACCACTTAGTCCTGGAAAGGGTCCTGGCAGCCCGTAGCCCAGAAGCATGAGGCAGAACTACACCTTGAACAAGATATCAGTCTGCTACATGGCATGCACATAAATCACAGATGAGTGATTTAGCAACTCCAATAATCTAGGCAACATCTCGCTGGAAGGTGAGAGAAAACTAAAGCACACACATGCACATGGGGTAAGCATGCAAACACCACACTGGAACAGAAGGGATTCCAGTCCGGAACTGAACCCAAGAACCAAGAGCTGTGAGGTAACAGCACTAACTGCAATGCCTCATTGCAGTCCCCAATCAGAAGCTTTGATTTCCCCCCAAAAACCATTTTACAAGGTGCAAAACAAAACACCTTTGGACAGAGTGTACCTACATGCAGCATGCAAGGTGCTGGAACAATGTTACAGCGGTGTCTAATAAAAGAGCCCAGGCACTCCAAACGATTAAAGCTTGAACTCAAGGTCATTAGCCCATCCTTCAATCCTCCAGGACAGAGTGGGCAGGAATAAGATGGATTCACCCAGCCAATGCTGCTGTATCTACTGCCAAAGACAAAGACACATGTCAAGGGAACGTATGTGTCTAGTGGATTAATTATGGCTCAGTGTCCTTCTAGAAAACCAGACAATTAGCAATTTACGTCTTAATTGTCACATACTTTTTAATTGCTGGACCTGAAACAGTGCAAAAGAATAACAAATGCAATGATTACAATCTCAATGTTGATTATGATTATGTTTTTCCCTAATGCTCTGCCATGCTCTTTTACAGCAGATTCTCCTTGATCAGCATGCAAGTGGCTCCTTACAGTAGTTGCCAAATGGATTGTAGCCAAAGCTGCCTTTTTTAGCAGCCTGTGCAAAAGGTATTTATAATTTGTTCTATCATGTCTTGTCCTGCACATTGATCATTCTTCTCTGACAGCAGCACTCTTGTTTGATCTCATCAGTTCACAGACAATAAGCAAAGCTGAGCCTGGTCAGTATTGAGATAGGAGCCCTTTTAAAGATTTGGGATCCTACAGGATCATACATAATGCAAGGAAATATTATTAATAACAATAATAATGACCTTTAATCCTACCAAGACACACAGGATGAACTAAACAACTAATCATGTCACTGAAGTGCGTAATAGCTAAAATTTACAGTAAGGACCTCATCTTCATTAGCTTCATACTACATAGATCTATCCACAATATTTTATCTGAGTCCACAGCACAGCATAACATATGACTTTAAAGCTTTTAGGGCCACTCTGAATTCAAGTCATTCAAGTTTTGAAGGATAAAGGAGTAAAAACCAATACAAAATGTGAAAGGTCTTTTTCTGTTATCAGGTTTCCCATATGTTGAATGAGCTTTTTTGCAGGGAGTGGCTAATCGTTTTGTATGGATCACTGGTATGAAAGCAGCTTAGTCACAGAGCACTTCCTTCTAATTCATTCACGTAACAATTACTATTACATGTTGTTGTACTCCCAATGACTAAATTACACACTGCTTGCAAAAATGTCACGCAAACCAAAACCAGATTTCAAAGAACATCTTAGAGGATTTCTAACCATCCTCCACTATTGCAACACATGTTTTATGTAAAAGGGATTTTCAGTTTCAGCCTGACTAAGCAAGGAGGAAATTAGCTTAAAAGTAATACTTCCCAATTTGATGACCAGACTTTTACGCAGATGTCCTTACTTGTGTTTTCAGCAGCCTGATAATGCTATCAGAGCAAAATAATGCAGGGATGCTCTATCTACATTTCAGACTAGGTCTGTGGGTGACCTCCTTTTAGAGAAGGTAAAGACACAACAAACACTGCAGATGCTGACAATATTGTCAATGTTGCTAGAAGCAGAGAAATGTAACGTAAAAATATCAAACAATGGGCTGTGGTAGATACAGTAACTGGGTCAA